GCATCAAATAGCCCCCGCGATATGCAACTTTTCAGGGAAGTTAGGAACCAATATACACAAGCAGTCAGGAAAGCAAAGGCTAACTTTTTCAAACAGAAATTTGCATCCTGTAGCACTAACTCCAAAAAGTTTTGGGACACTGTAAAGTCCATGGAGAATAAGAGCACTTCCTCCCAGCTGCCCACTGCACTGAGGCTAGGAAACACTATCACCACCGATAAATCTACAATAATCGAGAATTTCAACAAGCATTTTGCTACAGCTGGCCATGCTTTCCATCTGGCTACCACTAACCCGGCCACCAACTCTGCACCCTCTGCTGCAACTTGCCCATGCCCCCCCCCGCTTCTCCTTCACACAAATTCAGACAGCTGATGTTTTGAAAGCGCTGCAAAATCTGGACCCCTACAAATCAGCTGGGCTAGACAATCTGGACCCTTTCTTTCTAAAACTAGCCGCCGAAATTGTCGCAACCCCTATTACTAGTCTGTTCAACCTCTCTTTCATAACGTCTGAGATCCCCAGAGATTGGAAAGCTGCCGCGGTCATCCCCCTCTTCAAAGGGGGTGACACTCTAGATCCAAACTGCTACAGACCTATATCCATCCTGCCCTGCCTTTCGAAAGTATTCGAAAGCCAAGTTAACAAACAGATCATCGACCATTTCGAATACCACCGTACCTTCTCCGCTATGCAATCCGGTTTCCGAGCTGGTCACGGGTGCACTTCAGCCACGCTCAAGGTCCTAAACGATATTATAACTGCGATTGATAATAGACAGTACTGTGCAGCCGTCTTCATCGACCTGGCCAAGGCTTTCGACTCTGTCAACCACCGCATTCTTATTGGCAGACTAAATAGCCTTGGTTTCTCAAATGACTGCCTCGCCTGGTTCACCAACTACTTCTCAGATAGAGTTCAGTGTGTCAAATCGGAGGGCCTGTTGTCTGGACCTATGGCAGTCTCTATGGGGGTGCCACAGGGTTCAATTCTTGGGCCGACACTTTTCTCTGTGTATATCAATGATGTCGCTCTTGCTGCTGGTGACTCTCAGATCCACCTCTACGCAGACGACACCATTTTGTATACATCTGGCCCTTCATTGGACACTGTGTTAACAAACCTCCAAACGCGCTTCAATGCCATACAACAATCCTTCAGTAGCCTTCAACTGCTCTTAAACACTAGTAAAACTAAATGCATGCTTTTCAATCGAACGCTGCTAGCACCCGCCCACCCGACTAGAATCACCACTCTCGACGGGTCTGACCTAGAGTATGTGGACAACTACAAATATCTAGGTGTCTGGTTAGACTGTAAACTCAACTTCCAGACTCACATAAAGAATCTCCAATCCAAAGTTAAATCTAGAATCGGCTTCCTATTTCGCAACAAAGCCTCCTTCACTCATGCTGCCAAACATGCCCTCGTAAAACTGACTATCCTACCGATCCTTGACTTCGGCGATGTCATTTACAAAATAGCCTCCAACACTCTACTCAGCAAATTGGATGTAGTCTATCACAGTGCCATCCGTTTTGTCTCCAAAGCCCCATACACTACCCACCACTGTGACCTGTACGCTCTTGTTGGCTGGTCCTCACTACATGTTCGTTGTCAAACCCACTGGCTCCAGGCCATCTATAAATCACTGCTAGGCAAATCCCCGCCTTATCTTAGCTCATTGGTCACCATAGCAGCACCCACCCGTAGTCTGCGCTCCAGCAGGTATATCTCACTGGTCATTCCCAAAGCCAACACCTCCTTTGGCCGCCATTCCTTCCAGTTCTCTGCTGCCAATGACTGGAACGAATTGCAAAAATCTCTGAAGCTGGAGACTCTTATCTCCCTCAATAACTTTAAGCATCAGTTGTCAGAGCACCTTACCGATCACTGCACCTGTACACAGCCCATCTGAAATTAGCCCACCCAACTACCTCATCCCTATACTGTTATTTATTTTGCTCTTTTGCACCCCAGTATCTCTATTTGCACATAATCTCTTGCACATCTAGCATTCCAGTGTTAATACTATTGTAATTATTCTGCACTATAGCCTATTTATTGCCTTACCTCCATAACTTGCTACATTTGCACACACTGTATATATATTTTCTGTTGTATTTCTGACTTTATGTTTTTTTTACCCCATATGTAACTCTGTGTTGTTTTTATTGCACTACTTTGCTTTATCTTGGCCAGGTCGCAGTTGTAAATGAGAACCTGTTCTCAACTGGCTTACCTGGTTAAATAAAGGTGAAATAAAAAAAATTGAAATAGGTGTTCAAACGTGGCAATGATTTAAAGGCAGTGGTGGGAAAAGTCCCCAATTGTCATACTTGAGTAAAAGTAAAGATACCTTAATCGAAACTGACTCAAGTAAAAGTGAAAGTTACCCAGTAAAATACTACTTGAGTAAAAATCTAAAAGTATTTGGTTTTAAATATACTTAAGTATCAAAAGTTAATATAATTAACACCCTGCCTGTGCCATTAAACCCCTACAATTCATCCAGAACGCCGCAGCCCGTCTGGTGTTAGACCTTCCCAAGTTCTCTCATGTCACCCCGCTCCTTCGCACACTCCACTGGCTTCCAGTTGAGGCTGCATCTACTACAAGACCATGGTGCTTGCCTACGGTGCTGTGAGGGGAACGGCACCTCCTTACCTTCAGGCTCTGATCAGACCCTACACCCAAACGAGGGCACTACGTTCATCCACCTCTGGCCTGCTAGCTCCCCTACCTCTACAGAAGCACAGTTCCCGCTCAGCCCAGTCAAAGCTATTTGCTGCTCTGGCACCCCAATGGTGGAACAAGCTCCCCCACGACGCCAGGACAGAGGAGTCACTGACCACCTTCCGGAGACATTTGAAACCCTACCTCTTTAAGGAATACCTGGAATAGTATAAAGCAATCCTTCTACCCCCCCCCCCCCCCCTCCCCCACCCCCCCATAAAAAAAGAAGAAAAAAAGTGGTTGTCCCACTTGCTATCATAAATTGAATGCACCAATTTGTAAGTCGCTCTGGATAAGAGCGTCTGCTAAATGATGTAAATGTGAATGTAAATGTAATTGCTTAAATATACTTAAGTATCAAAAGTAAAAGTATAAATAATTTCAAATTCCTTATTTTAAGCAAACCAGACGGCACGATGTTCTTGTTATTTTAACGTACGGATAGCCAGTGGCACAATTCAACACTCAGACATCATTTACAAACGAAGCATGTGTGTTTAGTGAGTCCGCCAGATCAGAGGCAGTAGGGATGACCAGGGATGTTATAATGGATGTTCTCTTGATAAGTGAGTGGATTGGACCATTTTCCTGTCCTGCTAAGCATTCAAAATGTAACGAGTACTTTTGGGTGTCAGGGAAAATGTAAGGAGTAAAAAGTAAATTATTTTCTATAGGAATGTAGTGAAGTAAAAGTAAAAGTTGTCAAAATATAAATATTAAAGTAAAGTACAGAAAAACGACTTAAGTATTACTTTAAAGTATTTTTACCCAATTACTTTACACCTCTGTTTAAAGGCAACCTCACGTTGATCAATTTCCTAATCACATTGCATCCTGAAACTTATAGCCTACAAGTTATTCATTTTGTGTAACAAGAGTCTTCACACCAACTCTTGGTTTTCACAATATTGCAATAGACACTACCATTTGGATGTAATACTATCAACAAACATTAAAATAATTGCCCCCTCATTTAAGAATCTGCTGAACAGGAGTAGTTTTGTAGACAATCGTTTTTTCTTCTTCTCCAGTTTCAGTAGAATTAGTACTGCATGAATTGAATCAGGGTGACAGAATTGTATGTTGTAAATCAGAACGCATCTCAAGCAAAATATGTGAGTGTGTTTTTCAGGGTAGGCTATAGCCTATATACACGCATCTACAGTACGTGCAAATTCACATATTATTCAGGAGTTATACTACTGAATGGATGACCCTGAATCTGCGAAGGGTGCATACAATTTCACAAAGCATGAATGGTGGATACTGTGTTGTAGTATGGTTTGCCTATAAATTACCCCACTGGCGGTTAAAACATAAGAGCACCATTTGACAAGAGCAAGCAATATACATCTCATTGAAACAATATCAGAATCAGAATCACCTTTATTCTCCAAGTACATTTACATGTACCAGGAATTTGACCTGGTGGAATGGCGCTGACAACAATAAACAGAATATATAGACAGAATATAGACAAAGGAATTTACACATAATGGTCATACAGTATCTACAATGGGTTTTGGTGTAGGCTCAATAAGCTATGAGAGTAGCTCCACCATAGGCCTACACCAATGTATGCCTTAGCCGATTGCCCTACTCTGATGCACTCATTGGGGTTTCCAGATGGCTTTGATTACAAAAAAATCAAGAAATAACTGCTTTTTAACATTACAATTATAAATAATTATTAATTTATGACACAGTTTGTTAAACATGAAATGAAGTACATACATGGATACAGGCTGTTGTTCATGAGTTATTACATGTCCTAAATTAAACGGTTCAAACAATAAAAAAAGATGACAAACAGTTTATTAATGGTTAACAAACCATTTATTAGGCCAAATGGAAAAATTACAAATAGCCAAAAACTATTTTCCATTATAGTCTATGTGAAATGCGGCTATGAGGGGAGCTATAGGACGGAGACACATCAACTTCAAATATCACACTTTATTGGAAATCTGTAGTTTATGTAATAAAGTGCCACTTGAATTGACAATTGGCATGTGTTTACTAATTGACTTCATTACGTCATTTTAGGAAGTGGGTTGTAGACGTTTCAAGGGGCGATGCTGGTCACGTGCTGGTTTCAACTTCCTGTTTACCACTTGTTCCTTGAGACAGTTCACGGATTGCGACACTTCAACAGTCGTGTGATTTTTTATCAAGAACAATAAATACGCTTTTGAATCCCTGCTACTACGGAATTAATCGTTTTGGAACGGTTCATATTTTTTTGTCATTACTGGGGAAGAGGAGAGGAAATGAATAAATGACATTGAGGAAACGTGACTAGGCCAGGAGTCCTCGAGATTTCCTGAGTCAGGCGCCTGGAGTTCACGTTCGGAGCATTCCTCTGTCAACAAATGGCTCAATACCAAACATACGAGTGATGAGGGCATTGACTAAAAATCAGTCAGTTGGGTGATTGTCTGCATTACATTTTCTAGGCAAAACGTTTAGTAATGTGTTGGATTTAACTTTAAGTGTGTATACTTCCTAAAATTATTTAACTAGCTACTATAGCTAGCCAACCAAATCCACCACCACTAGCTTAGCCACGTAAACTAAATTACAGCCTGCTTGCCTGGCAAGTTTTACCTGGAAGGGATAGCTAGCCATCATTGTTTGTAGAGGGTAATAGCCCGGCGGTGCCCTGAATTCGGGGAGAATACCCGGCTCCGTCCCTTTCAAGCGGGCAGTCAGGAAGAAACTGTCTGGGAAGGGATGGCCTGGTGGGTCATCCTGTTCCCAAGGTGCTGCGGTGTTTGAGGGCGGACGAGTTCGGATAGAACCCACGGTGGGTCGCGGCACGATGATGGCTGCATTCCCTTCCGTGTCTGGGAGCATCACGGCCTCCGGGCTAATGTTATCAGGCAGAAAGAGTGAGGAAATAGCGGATTTGATAGATTTGTTTTCGAAGACACAGTACAGAGCGAAAGAAGTCACGCCACGGGTAAGTTCGAGGTCCTCAGCATGACTTTTTAAATATTTATATATTTTTTACTATGATTTCTGCATGTCATATTATAGCCAGTTGTAGCTATGTGTTTACCCAGAGATGGTGTACCATCCGCCAAACGTCACTTACATTTACGCGCGCTTCAAGTAAACAACAACAACCTGCAGTGCCTAGTGCCAGTGCCTAGAGACTGCTCACCTGCCCCGGACGTTAGAATCTCATTCCTTCTGAAGGAGCCTATTTCTTTAACTGTCCAGATACTCACACTTGAATTTAGTCAAGCCTTTTTCATACGACTTCAAACCCACCAACAAAAAAAAACAATGCTTGGAACAATATTCTTAGTAAGATGCATGCCATGTGAATAGCACTATACAATGAAGTAAGGGGTCCTTATTTTGGGGTAATGATGAGATGGTAAGCATATCAGTTCATATTCTTCAAAAATCTAGTGGTTATATTTCATATGTGATTTAGAATATGTGATGTAGCTACACATCCTGTTTTTCCTTCTTTGTGTGGGGGGGAGGATGTGACTATGCGTTTCATGAAAGACTATCAATCACCACTTTGGTATATTTGTGTCTTACAGGTCGCGACGATAGAGAAGCGTTGCTTGGAGCTCTTTGGCAGAGACTACAAGTACAGCGTCATCCACAACGCCAACGGGGAGGTGTGTGGCCACTACCCCCGGCAGATGGTCTTCCTGGAGTATGAATGCACCGAACTCCATAAAGAGGGGTAGCGTACCTACCTACTTTAACTTAACAAGGTCATCACTGAGGCTGTGTCTGCAGCTATTAGACCTACTAGTTGCCCAGTCCTTGCTTCCCCAGTCCTTGCTTCCCCAGTCCTTGCTTCCCCAGTCCTTGCTTCCCCAGTCCTTGCTTCCCCAGTCCTTGTTTCCCCAGTCCTTGTTTCCTCAACTCCTCTCAAAGCACATTGGAGGAGGAGGACCGAGGGAGGGACCTTGGATCCTCTCCTCCAATGCACTTTGAGAGGAGTTGAGGAAACAAGCAAGGATTTGACAGCCAGTAACATTTTCAGTCACAGCCTGAGACAAAGTCCAGTCCACTTAGTCACCAATTACACTGTTGTTTATTTGTGCGTGCCATAGTCCACAGCCCATATTCACATATGATGAATGTAAACTCAGAGTAGGTGTGCTGATCTAAAGCCCTAGGCTCAGGTCACCCGGTCCCTATAGATTTATTCATTATGATCTAAAAAGCTAAACTGATCCTAGATCAACTTTTCTAATCTGAGTTGGATTAAGAAAACTTGGACAGAAAACAAAACGGGGTTAAATGTAGTCCGGTCCACATCTTCATGAGTCATGATTCATGACACAGAGGGGGTTCGAAATGTCTGAGGTCACATGTTATATGTGTGAATAAATGGGAAACGTATGGGAGCGTTTTGTTTTGGAATGTGTTCGGAAATAGAATATGCACTTTTGAACTATGAGCAGAGCAGCACAACACTTATAAGATCCACACAGTGAGGAAGATGTCTTGAGGTTTCAAAAAGGGCTCTTGTCAGGTTGGATAACATGTTTATGGGGAGAATGTCCTCCCTTCCGGCATTATGTTTCCATATGTCTGTGACCTGCCCCATAGTTACCCTCTATGCAAATTCATAAGTCAGGGGAAACAGCCACTCAATAATTCATATAAACACCCATAACATTTTCGCCCAACCAGGATATCTAGAGCAAACAAACACACGAGTGAGATGGATTTTATGTGGCATTGTTTGTGTTGTCGGTTGACACTAAATAGGGGCTTTAGGCTACGAGCTCACTCAAGAATACACATTAGTTTGGATGTTAAAATGAAAACGCTGAATACTAAATAGGGTAGAATCTTTGTAGAGTTAGGCTATCATGTTAGGAGTTTACAAGGCTGATGTGCTGTTAGGAGATTACAAGGCTGATGTGCTGTTAGGAGATTACAAGGCTGATGTGGTGTTAGGGGTTTACAAGGCTGATGTGGTGTTAGGGGTTTACAAGGCTGATGTGGTGTTAGGAGGCCAGTGGCTCTGGCTGCACTGCGGTTGAACCTGTACCGCTGGCGTCCAGCCTATCTTACTGGACTGTATGTGAGCCGTCAGTCTCTGTGGCTATTGGGGCAGTTTGCACGTGTTATTTTTTTCTTGCTACATGATATAGTATTGCTATATTGAGGACTGATTCATGTAGGTATTGTTTTAACAGATCAGTGAAGATATATATTGCTATTTGCTATATTGAGGATCCATATATTGCTTTGTTATAATATATCAATTAAAATATATTGCTATTGTGAGGTGTATGTTGATTGATATATTGCTGCTGTGTCCCCAGGTTTGAGAGCACAGTCCAGATCACCAAGCTGCAGGACCTGGTGAACCGCAGTAAGATGGCCCGCTGCAGAGGGAGGTTTGTCTGCCCTGTCATCCTCTACAATGGCAAAGTATGATTTGTATATATATATTTCATCTATTTACATATTTATATATATATATATATATATATATAGAGTACCAGTCAAAAGTTTGGACACACCTACTCATTCAGGGTTTTTCTTTATTTTTACTATTTTCGACATCACAACTATGAAATAACACATGGAATCATGTAGTAACCAAAAAAGTGTTAAACAAATCAAAATATATTTTAGATTTTAGATTCTTCAAAGTAGCCACCCTTTGCCTTGATGACAGCTTTGCACACTCTTGGCATTCTCTCAACCAGCTTCATGAGGAATGCTTTTCCAACAGTCTTGAAGGAGTTCCCACATATGCTGAGCACTTGTTGGCTGCTTTTCCTTCGCTCTGCGGTCCAACTCATCCCAAACCATCTCAACTGGGTTGAGGTCGGGTGATTGTGGAGGCCAGGTCATCTGATGCAGCACTCCATCACTCTCCTTCTTGGTCAAATAGCCCTTACACAGCCAGGAGGTGTGTTTTGGGTCATTGTCCTGTTGAAAAACAAATGATAGTCCCACTAAACGCAAACCAGATGGTATGGCATATCGCTGCAGAACGCTGTGGTAGCCATGCTGGTTAAGTATGCCTTGAATTCTAAATAAATCACTGACTGTGTCATCAGTAAAGCACCATCACACCTCCTCCTTCATGCTTCACGGTGGGAACCACACATGCGGAGATCATCTGTTCACCTACTCTGCGTCTCACAAATGTACGGCGGTTGGAACTAAAAATCTCATATTTGGACTCATCAGACCAAAGGACAGATTTCCACCGGTCTAATGTCCATTGCTTGTGTTTCTTGGCCCAAACAAGTCTCTTCTTCTTATTGGTGTCCTTTAGTAGTGGTTTCTTTGGAGCAATTCGCCCATGAAAGCCTGATTCATGCAGTCTCCTCAGAACAATTGTGTTGTGATGTCTGTTACTTGAACTCAACTATAAAATGTATTTTGATTTGTTTAACACTTTTTTGGTTACTACATGATTCCATATGTGTTATTTCATAGTTCTGATGTCTTCACTATTATTCTACAATGTAGAAAATAGTAAAAATAAACAATAACCCTGGAAAGAGTAGGTGTGTCCAAACTTTTGACTGGTACTGTATATACACTGCTCAAAAGAATAAAGGGAACACTTAAACAACACATCCTAGATCTGAATGAATGAAATAATCGTATTAAATGTCAAATGTAATGTCCTTAAAACAAGTCAAAATGAGGCTCAGTAGTGTGTGTGGCCTCCACGTGCCTGTATGACCTCCCTACAACGCCTGGGCATGCTCCTGATGAGGTGGCGGATGGTCTCCTGAGGGATCTCCTCCCAGACCTTGACTAAAGCATTCGCCAACTCCTGGACAGTCTGTGGTGCAACGTGGCGTTGGTGGATGGATGTGCTCAATTGGATTCAGGTCTGGGGAACGGGCGGGCCAGTCCATAGCATCAATGCCTTCCTCTTGCAGGAACTGCTGACACACTCCAGCCACATGAGGTCTAGCATTGTCTTGCATTAGGAGGAACCCAGGGCCAACCGCACCAGCATATGGTCTCACAAGGGGTCTGAGGATCTCATCTCGGTACCTAATGGCAGTCAGGCTACCTCTGGCGAGCACATGGAGGGCTGTGCGGCCCCCCAAAGAAATGCCACCCCACACCATGACTGACCCACCGCCAAACCGGTCATGCTGGAGGATGTTGCAGTCAGCAGAACGTTCTCCACGGCGTCTCCAGACTCTGTCACGTCTGTCACATGTGCTCAGTGTGAACCTGCTTTCATCTGTGAAGATCACAGGGCGCCAGTGGCGAATTTGCCAATCTTGGTGTTCTCTGGCAAATGCCAAACGTCCTGCACGGTGTTGGGCTGTAAGCACAACCCCCACCTGTGGACGTCGGTCCCTCATACCACCCTCATGGAGTCTGTTTCTGACCATTTGAGCAGACACATGCACATTTGTGGCCTGCTGGAGGTCATTTTGCAGGGCTCTGGCAGTGCTCCTCCTGCTCCTCCTTGCACAAAGGCGGAGGTAGCGGTCCTGCTGCTGGGTTGTTGCCCTCCTACGGCCTCCTCCACGTCTCCTGATGTACTGGCCTGTCTCCTGGTAGCGCCTCCATGCTCTGGATACTACGCTGACACACAGCAAACCTTCTTGCCACAGCTCGCATTGATGTGCCATCCTGGATGAGCTGCACTACCTGAGCCACTTGTGTGGGTTGTAGACTCCGTCTCATGCTACCACTAGAGTGAAAGCACCTCCAGCATTCAAAAGTGACCAAAACATCAGCCAGGAAGCATAGGAACTGAGAAGTGGTCTGTGGTCACCACCTGCAAAACCAGTCCTTTATTGGGGGTGTCTTGCTAATTGCCTATAATTTCCACCTGTTGTCTATTCCATTTGCACAACAGCATGTGAAATTAATTGTCAATCAGTGTTGCTTCCTAAGTGGACAGTTTGATTTCACAGAAGTGTGATTGACTTGGAGTTACATTGTGTTGTTTAAGTGTTCCCTTTATTTTTTTTAGCAGTGTATATATATATATTTTTATAATTAGATATGTTGCTTTTATTTTACATGGAAGTCCCATTGACCTCGGCCCTGTTGTTCAGTATGAAGAAAGTTAGAGGTAGTTTCCCGGGCCAATGCTAACTAGCGTTAGCGCAATGACTTGAAGTCTATGGGTATCTACTAGCATGCTAGATAAAGGGACCTATTGCCAAAATCCTGAAGTATCCCTTTAAAATGCATCCTTCTATACTCCATTGCTTGAGGTAATCACTGATCTGATGTGACATAATCAGTGAAATCAATGCAGTGGAAAGCTTGCCAACACTTGCCTAATCCTGTCATGTCAGATCAGTGATTACCTCAAGGGAGGGAGGCAGGAAGGATGCAATTGAAGAATATTTGAACAGGGCCCTCAAATCACCTCTACCCGGCCAGGCACATTCCACCTTCCTGTTTGAGATCTGTTTCATTTTTAAAAGAGATCAGTGCAATAGTAACATTTTTGGATGCAATATTTTAAAATAATACTTTTTATTGAGCAACTTTACATTATGTACTATTAACGGCTAAGTCTATTGCTGCCTTGTTATTAGCCTACTACAGCTATTACGACTAAGTTTGTCATTTGTAATTGAGGAGGGGGGAAAAGTATCTTGAAACTTTGCATTTCTAGTTTGGAACTGTGTTGGTCTCGACTGCTGTGTTCCCTTTCTGTTTATCTGTCACAACGTTCAAATGTGGCCTCTGTTTGATTTGCGGTGAATCTTTGAATACCTGTTGTGCATTGTCTTAAATACTCCTCGCCTTTGAACAAGGAAGTGAGTGTGTCAAAAACAACAATGAGAGGGAGACTTGATTGACAGGTTTCTAGACTATTGGGATGAGGAGTATGCTAACCAGCGCGTGTTGATCTAATCCTGTGTTGTCTTCCATTGCAGCATATCTGTCGGTCATCTACTCTGGCAGGCTGGGGGGAGCTATACGGGCGCACAGGCTTCAACTACATCTTCTCAGGTGAGACTGACACAAAATACATTTTGTCCGCGAGGAAAACTCTTAATCTAGTTCAGGGCCTTATTCACAAAGAGTCTCAGGGTAGGTCTAGGATCAGTTTTCCCCTTTTTGATCATAATTAATGAGATTACATGGACAGGGGGAACTGGATCCTAGATCAGCATTCCTAATCTGAGAAGCTTTATGAATACAGGCCCGAATCTATTTTAATCTGGACCCATTTATAAAAGGAGAAGTTTTCATGCACTGCTTCCACCCAGTTTCACTTTTGTGTCTGAAATACAAACGTTTGGGTCTACCGACCTTTGTCAGAGCGTGTGACTTCTACGACTGCTTTGTCAGCAAGCGTCTCACACTTCTTAAACTCTTCAATGATGAAGTCCCTATTCCAAGCTCAAACGTTGCTGCTATATTTCCACTTGTTTGGCTGTAGTCGATCTCCCCAAGCCAGTTTTTGAATATGCATCCCTTTCTGTACTCTCTCTGTCTCTCTGTCTCTCTCTCTCTCTGTACTCTCTCTCTCTCTCTGTCTCTCTGTACTCTCTCTGTCTCTCTGTCTCTCTGTCTCTCTGTACTATCTCTGTCTCTCTGTCTCTCTCTCTCTGTTGCTCCTTTCTTCCTCTCCCTAGGGGGGATTGATGACACGTGGGGGGCGGAGTCTGAGCCAGAGGTTCCAGATGACGACAGTGCCAGGTTGGTGTCTTTTCACATGAGATTAAATTATCCCATGGTGTGTGTGTGCGGAACATCAACATCCTCCTTAAATGATCAGTTTGTTTTCTTTGCTTGATTCAGTGCTCAAAATGCCACAGACATTTTTGTGGTTATTTGATGACTTCTAAAACCTTGTGGTCATTTCTTTGCACACTTTCTCTCCCTCCTATCTCTCTCTCTGTGTACCCATCATCTTCTCAATCTCTTTCTCCCTCCTATCTCTCTCTCTGTGTACCCATCATCTTATTCTCAATCTCTTTCTGCCTCCTTTCTCTCTCTCTGTGTACCCATCATCTTCTCAATCTCTTTCTCCCTCCTCTCTCTCTCTGTGTACCCATCATCTTCTCAATCTCTTTCTCCCTCCTATCTCTCTCTCTCTGTGTACCCATCATCTTCTCAATCTCTTTCTCCCTCCTATCTCTCTCTCTCTCTCTCTCTGTGTACCCATCATCTTCTCAATCTCTTTCTCCCTCCGATCTCTCTCTCTCTCTCTCTCTCTCTGTGTACCCATCATCTTCTCAATCTCTTTCTCCCTCCATCTCTCTCTCTCTCTCTCTCTCTGTGTACCCATCATCTTCTCAATCTCTTTCTCCCTCCGATCTCTCTCTCTGTCTACCCATCATCTGCTCAATCTCTTTCTCCTCCAATCCCTCTATGTGTTACCTCATATCTGCTCGATCTCTTGCTCCCTCCTATCTCTCTCTCTCTATTCTCTCTCTTATCTATCTATCATCCTCTTATCAGATCTCTCTCTCTCTCTTCTCTCTCCTCTATCTGTGATAACATAATCTTCTAAATCTCTTCTCCCTTCTATCTCTATATAGTGTACCCATCATCTTTCTCAATCTCTTTCTCCCTTCTCTCTCTCTCAGGTGTAACCATTCATTCTGCCATATATTTCTCCATCCTATCTCTCTCTCTCTCTATCTATCTCTCTCTATGTGTACCCATAATATTCTAAATCTCTTTCTCCCTCCTATAATCTCTGTGTACCCCATCATCTTGAAATCCAATATCTTTCCATACACCGATCACTCCATACTCATCTCTGTGTACACATCATCTTCTCAGTCTCTTTTATCAATAAGATCCATATCTCTTCTTGGTACCCATATCTTCTCAATCTATCTTTCTCCCTACAATATCTCTCTCTCTCTCTTATCTCTGTGTAACCCATATCTTATCAACTATTATCCTCGATCTACTCTGCTGTTGTTAAAAATAATCTTCTCAATATATTTTATACACTCAATATCTTCTTATATGGGTACAATATCTTATCAAATAATAGGATACTAAGATCTATATCTATCTAGATATATATATACTATATCTATATCTATAGCTGAATCTATATCATCGCTCTATGTGTACAATATATCCTCAATATCTTTATACTCCGATCTCTCTCTCATCTCTTCTCTATCTATCTCTAGAATCTATCTCTCTCTTCTTCCTCTCTTCTCTGGTACCCATCATTTATCAATCTCGTTCTCCCTTCCTATCTCTCTCTCTGGTACCACATAATCTGTCAATACTCTTTCTCCATCCCATCTCTTATCTCTCTCTTACTGTGTACCCAAAACATCTTCTCAATCTCTTTCTCCATCCTCTCTCTCTTATGTGACCCATATATGCCTCAATCTACTTTCTACCTCCTATCTCCTCTCCTACTCTTCTCGGTGTTGTTACCCATATCTTCTCAATCTCTTTCTCCCTCCTATCGCCTCTCTCTCTCTCTCTTCTCTCTCTCTCTCTCTCTCTCTCTCTTCTCTCTCTCTCGATCTATCTCTCTCTCGTCTCTCTGTGTACCCATCATCTTCTCAATATTATGTCTCTCTCTCTATTCTCCTATATACTCTCTATTGTGCTTCTCTCTCTCTCTCTCTCTCTCTGTGTGTACACATCATCTTATCAATCCTTTCTCCATCTTTCTCTCTCTCTGTGACCCATCATATCTCAATCTCTTCTCTATCCTATCTCTCTCTCTCTACTATGTGTAACCATCATCTCTCAATACTTTATCATCCATCTCTCTCCTCTCTTCTGTGTTACCCATCATCCTTCTCAATCTCTTCTCCATCTATCTCCATATCTCTTATATCTCTCTGTGTACCCCTCATCCTTCTCATCTCTTTCTCCCTCCGATCTCCTATCTCTCTCTCGTGTGGTCTGTGTACCAATCATCTTATATTCTCTCCTCCTCCTCTCTCCTCTAATCTCCTTCTCTATCCTCTCGTGTACCCTCATCTTCTCAATCTCTTTCTCCCTCCTCTCTTATCTCTTGTGTTACCCATCATCTTCCAATATCTTTCTCCAATAATATATCTCTCTCTATATCTGTGTACCCATCATCTTCATCAATCCTATTTCTCCTCCTATCCTCTCTCTCTCTCTCTCTCTCTCTCTCTTATATCCTCTTCTCTATAGTATCTCTATGTAAACATCATCTGCTCAATCTATTTATACCTCATATCTCTCATCTCTATTGTGGACACATGCATCTTCTCATCTTTTACCTCCTATATATATCCCTCTCATTACTATCTATTATTATACTCTCTCTATCTATCTAATCTTCTATCGCTCTCTATGTGTACCCATCATATTCTCAATCTCTTCTAACTCGCGCATCTCTCTCTGTGTACCCATCATCTCTCCAATCTCTCTCTCTCCTCACTCTCTCTCCTCTCTTATCTCTATACTCTCTCTCTCTTATCTCTCTGTCTCTCTCTCTATATCTGTGTGTACCCATCATCTTTCAATATATTTCTACCTCCTATATCTCTCTCTGTGTACCCATCATCTTCTCAATCTCTTTCTCCATCCTCTCTCGCTCTCTCTCTCTCTCTCTCTCTCTCTCTCTCTCTCTCTCTCTCTCTCTCTCTCTCTCTCTCTCTATCTCTCTCTGTGTGTACCCATCATCTTTCAATCTCTTCTCCCTCCGATCTCTCTCTCTCTCTATCTGTGTACCCATCATTCGTCCAATCTTTTCCTTCCTCGATCTCTTACTCTCTCTCTATGTGTACCAATCATCTTCTCAATCTCTTTCTCCCTTCTCTGTCTCGTGTACCCATCATCTTCTCAATCTCTTTCTCCCTCGTATCTCTCTCTCTCTCTCTCTCTCTCTCTCTCCTCTCTCTCTCTCTCTGTGTGTACCCATCATCTTCTCAATCTCTTTCTCCCTCCGATCTCTCTCTCTCTCTCTCTGTGTACCCATCATCTTCTCAATCTCTTTCTTCCTCCGATCTCTCTCTCTCTGTGTACCCATCATCTTCTCAATCTCTTTCTCCCTCCTATCTCTCTCTCTCTCTCTGTGTCGTCTCTTTCTTTTCCTTGCTTGATTGAATGCTCAAAATTCCAAATACATGTTTGTGGTTCTGGGCACTTCTCTGCTCAACCATCGCTCTCGCGCTCTCGCGCTCTCTCTCGGTCTTGCTCTCTCTCTGTCTCTCTCTTTCATCTCTTCCTCTCTGCAGCAATGGGGACTCTCAGCTCTTTGACAAGGTGCGGGGTCTGGACATCAAGCTGCTGCGCTACCTCTCTGTGCGCTACATCTGTGACCTCATGGTGGAGAACAAGAAGGTCAAGTTTGGCCTAAAGTAAGTCAACACACCCACACACACCAGACAACATTCTTAATGTATTCAATACACACACACACGTTAGTCTTTTGGTAGAATTATGTTGTTAAGTAATAAACCTGACTCCTAAAGTGTACCCTTGTTTGGATGTTGACCTTTGCATGTGTAGCAGTGTTTTTGTCAAAAGGTTTTGTGTGTGTTCTGTGTATTGATTTATCTAGGTGCCTGTGTGCTTGTTTGATGTGATTGTGTGCAGCAGGTAGCCTCAAGATTAGAGCGTTGAATCAGTAACCGAAAGGTCGCTGGTTCAAATCCCGGAGCCGATAAGGTGAAAAATCTGTCGCTGTGCCCTTAGCAAGGCACTTAACCCCAATTTCTCCAGGGGCGCTGGACAATGGTGACCCTAGCCGTGACCTCACTTCCTACAGGTGTCTCAGGGGGAGTTGGGATATGCAAGAAACACATTTCCAATTCACACTTGTACAAGTGTGTAACAGGACAAATATAAGCAACCCCCAAATTATTATTATAATGTAATGTTGACGTGTGTGTGCGTGCTTGCTGTGGGTCGGCAGGTGTGCAGTATACACACCGTTAGAGAGGATTGTACAGTACAGGGTTAGTGCTTCAGGTATGTTGTATCTGCTTCATCACCTTGGGAATATTTTCTCTCTCCTCTCCTCTCCTCTCCTCTCCTCTCCTCTCCTCTCCTCTCCTTCTCCTCTCCTCTCCTCTCCTCTCCTCTCCTCTCCCTTTATTTAATCTGTCGTCCAGTGTCACCTCGTCTGAGAAGGTGGATAAGGCCCAACGATATGCAGACTTCACCCTGCTCTCTGTGCCTTACCCAGGTAAAACCCTAACCCTTACCCAGGTAAAACCCTAACCCTTACCCAGGTAAAACCCTAACCCTTACCCAGGTAAAACCCTAACCCTTACCCAGGTAAAACCCTAACCCTTACCCAGGTAAAACCCTAACCCTTACCCAGGTAAAACCCTAACTCTTACCCAGGTAAAACCCAAATCTCTCTAAACCCAAACCTACGTTTACAATCCATTTATTCTATTCACTTTTTATCTACTTTTTATAATACATGTTGTTTTTATTAGGAAAAGCAGGTTTCCACACTCAAATATATATTTTTATTTTTTATTTTAATGTACAATAGTTCCATAGACAACAGAAAGGCAGTTGGTAAGCCTTACAATGCATTTCTACATCTTATCGTTATAGGTACACTCTTCCCCAGAGAGATAGCTGTACTCTTCTCTGTGCATACAGTTTTTACCACAACACCAGGGCTGCATTCATTAGGGTACGCGGTTTTCAACTGAAAAAGGAAACAGGCGGTTCTTATTGGATCCTCCCTGTTTGTCTGTTTTCTTCTGTTCGGTGCCTAATGAACACGACCCCTCTCTCTGTGTCTCCAGGGTGTGAGTTCTTTAAGGACTACAAAGATAGAGACTACACTGCTGAGGGACTAGTATTCAACTGGAATCAGGTATTGTTTGACACACACACACACACAATCTCTGATTTGAGATTCGTCATATCTATTCTCAGCGCCTGTATTTACAATGCGTCTTGAAGTTAGGACTACTGATGTAGGATCCGGTCCCCCCTGTCCATGTATCTTATTCATTGTGATCTCAAAGGCAAAACTGATTCTAGATCAGCACTCTTAGACGCTTTATGAATACGGGCTCAAGATCTCAAAACATACCGTTTTATTGTTAACCTTCATCAACAGGATTTTGTGGATGCTCCTTTGACAATCCCTGTGTGCTTTACCAAGAACTTAAATATAGACTGGAGTCAATATCAGGTACGTCTACTAATACCTGAATATCAGGTGCATCTACTACTTTCCTCATATAAGCATCATTCTACTGTATTAATACTTCAGCCAACTGTCATCAAGTCTTTCCAGATATTACTGGTCTCAAAGTGACCTCTGTAGGTTGGTTATGAAACTGCATCTGGTTGCCGACCGCTAATTTCTCATGTTGTGTCTTGACATTCATTAAGTTATTTTGTTTATGACCATTGTTCCATTGTTTTCAGATTTTGCTGATGTTTTTAGGAGAGTTTTACTTGCTATGACTGTGATATGTGGTTGTCGTACCTAGCTAACTTAAGTTGAATGCATTAACTGTAAGTCGCTCTGAATAAAAGCATCTGCTGAATGACTGAAATGTAATCTAAAAACAGTTTAAATTAGGGCTGTCATAGTTCATCTGGTAACTCAAGTCAACTTTTTGTAATTTTAGTATACATTTATTTTATTTTAATGTGATTAATCACATTGTCTGAAAGCGTTGAAAATACACTGAAAACATCCCAAATCCATAATCTATACAGCTAAGAACAACAATGTGATGTTAAAACAAGTTGACATTGAGGTTAAAGAAAGTGTGGTTTATCATTATAACTGATTTTGCTAACCGTTACTTTGGACAAAATCAAGACATTAATATTCTTGTAATGATTTTTGTATAAAAAATCTTAAATTACGGCTCAATTAGAGCAAATTCAGCAATACGTTTTTTAAATAATTTGACAGCCCTAGTTTAAATGCATATTTTAGGTTATAAGCGATGTAGTCGCCACAACAGGGCCACGTTCACTAGGCAAATGTTGTGGAACGATGCAGATAGACATGTCATGAATAGAGCTGCCGTGATTCCTTATTCCATATGTCAGAGATTCTACATAACATATTTCTATCTGAGTGTTAGTGCCCTGCTGAATGCGCCCCAGGTGAAAACGTGTTGAAACTCTTCGTGTTCTTCTCTGTCCTTCTGTTTCAGTCTTGGGACCTGGTCCAGCAGACCCAGAACTACCTGAAGCTGTTGCTTCACATCATCAACAGCGACGGTCAGTGCGTGCGTGGGTTGAGTGTGTCTGGCGTATGTGGGTGTGTCTGCCGTGCGTTTCTGGGTGGGTGTGGGTGGCGGGTGTGGGTGTGGGTGGTGTACGTGCATTGGTTACAGCTACTTTCTTTCAGGGAGTAAATTGACCTAGAAAAAGAGTGGTTAAGTCCTATCTCATACCTCAAATGGTCCAGTGAGGGTCCCTGAGATGTTGAACTATTAGACCTTAAAGTCTTGTTCATGGGCTTTAGTCTTCGTCACTTCCTAATCTCTATAAAACCCTGTGTCAATGCTTCATTTCTTAAATGGTTCTGATTTGCTTCTGATTTGCTTGTGATTGGGTTTGCCCCCTGTAGATGAGAGCGGTCTCCTCGTGCACTGCATATCCGGTTGGGACCGGACACCTCTCTTCGTGTCCCTCCTGCGGCTCTCGCTGTGGGCAGTAAGTGTTCTCCTCTCATCTCTCTCTTTTATTCCTATCCATCGGTTTCTCTCTATTTTTCTATTTTTCTCTCCTAGGCTTGGGCGGTATCCAGATTGTCATACCTTCATACCGACATTGTGCCGTACCAGGATATTTGGTAATACCGGCATTGAACACAAGGGCCGCTATCTTCAAAACCCACTGAGCCTTTGTAATCCGAAGGTTAGCAATGCTAACAAGTACATGTAAAATCACATGGGGAATGCTAACTAAATGTTAACGATCGCATTGTGAACATTTTATAGTCTCTGACTTAAACTATTTTCAGGACAGACATCCCAGCTCATAAAGTTATACAAGTAACAAAACTGTTTGCTGCACAAAACAAATATTACACAGCAAGACTCATGATCCAGGAGGGGATTCTCTGCTTATCGGCATGCAAAGCTTGATTTTGGAAGAAGCTAAACACTTGAATTCAGCTATTTCAGCCACACCCGTTGCTGACAGGTGTATAAAATCGAGCACACCGCCATGCAATCTCCATAGACAAACATTGGCGGTAGAATGGCCCGTACTGAAAACCTCAGTGACTTTCAAATTGGCACCGTCATAGGATGCCACCTATCCAACAAGTCAGTTCGTCAAATTCCTGCCCTGCTAGAGCTGCCCCGGTCAATTGTAAGTGCTGTTATTGTGATGTGGAAACGTCTAGGAGCAACAACGGCTCAGCCGCGAAGTGGTAGTCCACACAAGCTCACAGAATGGGACCGTCGAGTGCTGAAGCGCGTAGTGCGTAAAAATAGTCGGTCCTTGGTTGCAACACTCACTACCGAGTTCCAAACTGCCTCTGGAAGCAATGTCAGCACAATAACTGTTTGTCGGGAGCTTCATGAAATGGGTTTCCATGGCCGAGCAGCCGCACACAAGCCTAAGATCACCATGCGCAATGCCAAGTGTCGGCTGGAGTGGTGTAAAGCTTGCCGCCATTGGACTCTGGAACACTGGAAACATGTTCTCTCGAGTGATGAATCACGTTTCACCATCTGGCAGTCTGACGGACAAATCTTGGTTTGACAGATGCCAGGAGAACGCTACCTGCCCCAATACATAGTGCCAACTGTAAAGATAGTGCAACTGTAAAGTTTGGTGCAGGAGGAATAATGGTCTGGGGCTGTTTTTCATTGTTCGGGCTAGGCCCCTTAGTTCCAGTGAAGGGAAATCTTAACACTACAGCGTACAATTACATTCTAGATGATTCTCTGCTTCTAACTTTATGTGCAACAGTTTGGAGAAGGCCCTTTCCTGTTTCAGCATGACAATGCCCCCGTGCACAAAGCGAGGTCCATACAGAAATGGTTTGTCGAGATTGGTGTTGAAGAACTTGACTGGCCTGCACAGAGCCCTGACCTCAACCCCATCTAACACCTTTGGGATGAATTGGAACGCAGACTGCGAGCCAGGCCTAATCGCCCAACATCAGTGCCCGACAACACTGATGCTCTTGTGGCTGAATGGGATGCAAATCCACGCAGCAATGTTCCAACATCTAGTGGAAAGCCTTCCCAGAAGAGTGGAGGCTGTTATAGCAGCAAGGGGGGAATCAACTGTATATTTATGCCCATGATTTTGGAATGAGATGTTCACATACAGTTGAAGTTGGAAGTTTACATACACCTTAGCCAAATACATTTAAACTCAGTTTTTCACAATTCCTGACATTTAATCCTAGTAAAAATTCCTGTGTCTTTATTTTAAGAATGTGAAATGTCAGAATAATAGTAGAGAGAATACTTTTTTTCAGCTTTTATTTCTTTCATCACATTCCCAGTGGGTCAGAAGTTTACATACACTCAATTAGTATTTGGTATCATTGCCTTTAAATAGTTTAACTTGGGTCAAACGTTTCGGGTAGCCTTCCACAAGCTTCCCACTATAAGTTGGGTGAATTTTGGCCCATTACTCCTGACAGAGCTGGTGTAACTGAATCAGGTTTGTAGGCCTCCTTGCTCGCACACGCTTTTTCAGTTCTGCCCACAGAATTTCTATAGGATTGAGGTCAGGGCTTTGTGATGGCCACGCCAATTCCTTGACTTTGTTGTCCTTAAGCCATTTTGCCACAACTCTGGAAGTATGCTTGGGGTCATTGTCCATTTGGAAGACCCATTTGCGACCAAGCTTTAACTTCCTGACTGATGTCTTGAGATGTTGCTTCAATATATCCACATAATTTTCCTTCCTCATGGTGCCATCTATTTTGTGAAGTGCACCAGTCCCTCCTGCAGCAAAGCACCCCCACAGCATGATGCTGCCACCCCCGTGCTTCACGGTTGGGATGGTGTTCTTCGGCTTGCAAGTACCCCCTTTTTCCTCCAAGCATAACGATGGTCATTATGGCCAAACAGTTCTATTTTTGTTTCATCAGACCAGAGGACATTTCTCCAAAAAGTATGGTCTTTGTCCCCATGTGCAGTTGCAAACCGTAGTCTGGCTTTTTTATGGCGGTTTTGGAGCAGTGGTTTCTTCCTTGCTGAGCAGCGTTTCAGGTTATGTCGATATAGGACTTGTTTTACCGTGGATATAGATACTTGTGTACCTGTTTCCTCCAGCATCTTCACAAGGTCCTTTGCTGTTGTTCTGGGATTGATTTGCACTTTTCGCACCAAAGTACGTTCATCTCTAGGAGACAGAACGCATCTCCTTCCTGAGCAGTATGACGGCTGCGTGGTCCCATGGTGTTTATACTTGCGTACTATTGTTTGTACAGATGAACGTGGTACTTTCAGGCGTTTGGAAATTGCTCCCAATGATGAACCAGACTTGTGGAGGTCTACCATTTTTTTCTGAGGTCTTGGCTGATTTCTTTTGATTTTCCCATGAATACATTTGTGGAGTGGTTGAAAAACGAGTTTTAATGACTCCAACCTAAGTGTATGTAAACTTCCAACTTCAACTGTACTATTGGTTATGTATTGTAGCTAACTAGCTACTAAATTAGCAAACCAAATGCACAACTGCAGAGTATTTAGCACATTGTGTGTGTCTTTGTAAACCAACACCCCGTGAATGGGTACTACCTGTAAGCTTCAAAATGAAAAATGATGTGAAAGGTTGGTGAAATGAAGAACGCAATCTTCTTTATCTCTTAACGTATTGCACAGGTGTACTGCAGGTATTTACTTAAAAAGTAGCAAAAAATATTCAAATCTATTAAACTTCAAATAAATAGTTTCAACAGTATTTAAAAACCATCCCGTGGCTATTTCCAAATACCCCGGTATACGGTATATACCGTATAACGCCCAAGCCTATTCTCTCCTTCTCTTTCATTCCTCTCCCCTGTTTCTTTCCCTCTCTGACTCTTTCACTCTTTGTCTCTCTCTTGCTCTCTCTCTCTTTTTACACCTCCGCCACTCAGGTATCCGTTTAGTAATTCAATTCCAAAGGCACTTCTTCAAAATTAATGCTCTGTAATCCCACAATGAATTCATCAGCTTTGACCTCCATGCCCCTCCCATTTATATATTTACACGCAAATGGAATTAAGATTCAAGACTCACCGCTTAATCACCAGATTCAATATTCAGGTTCTGCATTTTATTTAAAATGTAATATTAGGTTTGTCCGTGTAAATATGGATCATATTTCAGGGGGTTCAAATACTATTTGAAATCTGTTAAATACTTTGAGCGTTTGCTTTAGCTTGCCCAAAGTGTCAGATGGGCAGGGTTTGTCAAATTGGTGGTAGTTCCATTGGTTCCATTAAACAAGGGAACCTCAATCAAGCCCAGCTTAAAGAGCCAATCAGCAGTTGAAACAATAACAAGGCGTTTTCTCCGCTGCTGTCTTTGTAAAAAACTGAGGGATAGTGCTGGAGAAATGTAATCACTCTCAAATTCAAAGACAGAGTTATGGATGCAAGGACTGACCATCCATGATATCAACATTGTAGTTTTAACCATGTTTTCAGGCTATGCATTGTTTTGTATACATTTACTTGGTAAAACAAGCTTATATTTTGGGTTCTGGTGGGGTACGACAGTTAAACTAAGCTCATGAGGCATTTATAAGTTATATTCTTCAAGAATCAATGGTACATATCATTTAATGGATGTTCAAAAATGGTCCAGAAATCGATGTAGCAATTGCTGATTGCCCCTTTTTAAATATTTGAAATGATTTCAAAATAGTATTTGAACCCAGGAGTTTGTACCTGACACTTTTCAATGTACATCTGTCAAGCATGGGATATGTTTCAAACAGAATGAATAAATAGGCAGAGGATAGCGGCTAGCTCGGAATCGAACGACCATGCCAATCCCAATGCCACCGTGTGGTGCCCGTCGAGGCTAATTTGAATTCTTGAATGTATTTTTTTTCTAGGACGGTGCCGTCCACGCCAGTCTGGAGCCGGCTGAAATCCTCTATCTGACCATCGCCTACGACTGGTTCCTCTTTGGGTAAGGATTCACAATGAGCTCACAACCCCCCCCCCCCCCCATTACTCCCCAGTAATACTGACTCCTTGCCAACTCCTCAAAATGCATTGGAGAACAAAGTCTGATGGAAGGAACCTTGGACCTTCTTCTCCAGTATAGTTGAGAAGGAGGTGAGGACATAGGATGCGTGGAGGTGAGGACATAGGATGCGTGGAATCGCGGAAAGACTAATTGAGATGGACCACTCGTCTCGCTCTCTTTCCCTGCCTCTCTCTCCCTCCCTCTCGAGGCTTTCCTTCATAATTACCGCCGTGCATCTCTCCAAAGTTTAACTCATCAAATGGAGTAAATAAGAAAACGCTCCCGCCCGCCAGATAGCCCAATTGAGTAATTATTTCCGGCCAGGCTCCTGGGACTGCTGCCAAGGAGGAGGGGTGGGACAGACCAAGAATAACACACACACTACTTCCATTCCTTCCTAAGATCCATCATAATTGGGCTTTTTTTTCAACTGTCGGGTTTATGATGTGGCAGTCTGTATTGATTTATGTAATCTCTCCATCACTTAAAGGTAGACTCAGCGATATGATGTAGATGCAGGAAGTAAACAGCGTAGTGGGTGAATTTCCGCAACAACTAAGAGCATTGAAGCGCAAGGTTAAACCTTACCGCTGTTTTGGTCCCGTTGTAGCAGCGTGAAGCGGACCCGTGCACATGCGCAGATCCTTTGTGTGAGGGCAATGTCTTTCATCGCAATATCTGCAGTGCTGCTCGTGGCAATGTTATCTTGCTGAGTCTACCTTTAAACTCCCATTGAGAGTTTGTTTATTCGTTCATTTCACTTTTAAACCGGTGTAGACCTTACCGTGAAATGCTTACTTACAAGCCCTTTACCAACAATGCAGTTCAAGAAATAGAGTTAAGAAAATATTTACTAAATAAACTAAAGTAAAAAAAATAACATAAAAATTAACACAATAAAATAACAATAATGAGGCTGTATACAGGGGGTACAGGTACGGCACATGTGACAAATAACATTTGAATAGATTTGAAATGGAAAGGTAACTTGACTGATTCAGGTTCAAAGCCGGAGGTTAGAGATGATAGGGGTGGTGATGAGTCAATTGGTTATTGGTATACTTTTGTAAACAATAAGGTCTAAACTGTTCCCTCTTCTTTTTGCTTTGCAGTCTCCATCTTCATTTTGATCTTAACATTTATACTGTTTGATCGAATAAGTATATCAATTGGAAAGGTATAACCGGTACCACTGCATTGTTACCAGGTACATGGAGAAAACTGTACACTGAATAGAAAGGAAAAGGAATTGAAAAAGTGTTAAATAGGGTGGTTGGTGTTGGTGGCTAATAATCATATGTAATAACGGGTTCTTTGATGGATTCGGCGATCATTCTTATCGATCTGGTCTGTGTGTCTCTTCTACAGTCATATGCTGCCTGATCGCCTCAGCAAAGGAGAGGAGGTCAGTGGTACTCTAACACAATATCAATGCAATGGCGTGTGTGTGGAATATTAAAACATGCCCCCAAGTTCAAACACTGTTGCCAACCTCTTGAATTAGTTTTGTAGGAATTTACTACACCAAAGTAGATCTAATGGCTTGTAAAGATAAGAGTACAGCTTTGTCTGATTTAATTTTATGAAACTGATATACTAGAATACTGTAACTATTCACTAAGTATGTTCCAATTCTCAACTAAAGTGAGGTGTTTTGGGTGTTTTTCAAAACTAGGGGGCAGTATTTTGTCACATATTTAATGAATGTTTTTCACATCTCTAAGACTAAACTCCCTTCTATTCCTACTGGCAGATTTTCTTTTTTTGCTTCAACTTTTTGAAGCACATTGTCTCAGAGAAGTTCTCTGCCATGAAGAAACAGAGGTGAGTGAAATGTCACGGATCAACAGAGACGTTTGAAATGTAAATGCACTATTATTTGTTTTGGTCCGTCCCCGAAATGGCACCCTAGTCCTAGAGCACTATGGGCCATGGTCAAAAGTGGTGCACTATATAGGGAATAGGGTGCCATTTGGGACGCATGCATTGTCATTCACTCAGTGTACAATGCCCTTAAGCCACTCTTTTAAATGTTTCAACAGTAGAGTTGTAAGTGTACAGCCACTCAGGGCAATAACACTGTTATTTCATGGTTGGATTCCCACTGTGACAAACCAGTGTTTTTTTCCTTTTCTGTGTTCTTTGATCTCTCTGTATCTCTCTCTCTGTATCTCTCTCTGTATCTCTCTATCTCTCTCTCTGCCTCTATCTCTATCTCTATCTCTGCCTCTGCCCCTGCCTCTGCCTCTCTTTTTCTCTCTGTCTGTCTCTCTCTCTGTGTCTCTGTCTGTCTGTGTATTATTTCAGCATCCCTTTTTCTCCTGTTTCCACAGAAGGAAAAACTCTCATTTCAAAGACACTGATTTCACAGTGGACGACCTCTGCCAGTTCAGTAAGTTGTTTCCCTGGAGACATTTCGAGAGCTTGGGACTATAAGGTTTTATCAGCATTTTTGTCAAAATTGAGTTATTCACAGCCTTGTTCAGTCCAATGTTCTCTAGCCACATAGTACTCTAAATACCCCCAATTTATGTTGTTAAGTTAGAAAAAATACAATAAACGTTTTTGCTTTAAAGCCAGTTATCTCAATCATATTTTTGCAGATTGAACCTTATAGTCCCAAGCTCTCGATTTGCTACAGTTTTATACCGTTTTTTTTCTGGATCGAAAGGGGGCTTAGGTGGTGGGCCCGTCAGCATGGCTGAAGTTTAGAGAACATTTTCTCAAATGTCTCCATAGAGATAATTTTTTGCAGTTTTAAAACTTATTTCCTGCAATTCTATGCATTTTGCCATGGCTAATCCTGTGTTCTTTTGCTCAAACATAATAACAAAATATATACTGCAAAATGTATTGTTTTGGGAATTTTCAATTCTCCCCTACCTTTTATTTTCGTGATTGTTAGTTCTCAAAGATTATATTATAAAATAATATATACAGCTCTGGAAAAAATTAAGAGACCACTGCAAAATTATCAGTTTCTCTGGTTTTACTATTTATAGGTATGTGTTTAGGTAAAATTAACATTTTTAAAAATTCTATAAACTACTGACAACATTTCTCCCAAATTCCAAATAGAAATATTGTCATTTAGAGCATTTATTTGCAGAAAATGACAACTGGTCAAAATAACCTCGAATAATGCAAAGAAAATAAGTTCATGTTCATTTTTAAACAACACAATACTAATGTTTTAACTTAGGAAGAGTTCAGAAATCATATTTGGTGGAATAACCCTGATATTCAATCACAACTTTCATGCGTCTAGGCATGCACTCCACCAGTCTTTCACATTGATGTTGGGTGACTTTATGCCACTACTGGCGCAAAATTTCAAGCAGCTCGGCTTTGTTTGATGGCTTGTGACCATCCATCTTCCTCTTGATCACATTCCAGAAGTTTTCAATGGGGTTCAGGTCTGGAGATTGGGCTGGCCATGACAGGGTCTTGATCTGGTCGTCCTCCATCCACACCTTGATTGACCTGGCTGTGTGGCATGGCACATTGTCCTGCTGGAAAAACCAATCTTCAGAGTTGGGGAACAATGTCAGAGCAAAAGGAAGCAAGTTTTCTTCCAGGACAACCTTGTACGTGACTTGATTCATGCGTCCTTCACAAAGACAAATCTGCCCGATTCCAGCCTTGCTGAAGCACCCCCAGATCATCACCGATCCTCCACCAAATTTCACAGTGGGTGCGAGACACTGTGGCTTGTAGGCCTCTCCAGGTCTCCGTCTAACCATTAGACGACCAGGTGTTGGGCAAAGCTGAAAATTGGACTCATCAGAGAAAATGACCTTACTCCAGTCCTCTACGGTCCAATCCTTATTGGTCTTTTGCAAACCTCAGCCTGGCTCTTCTTTGCTTCTCATAGATGAAGGGCTTTTTTCTAGCTTTGCACGACTTCAGCCCTGCCCCTAGGAGCCTGTTTCGAACCGTCCTCGCCGTGCACTTCACCCCAGCTGCCGTTTGCCATTATTTTTATATGTGACTTGATGTCATCCTACGGTTGTTGAGTGACATTCGAATTAGTTGACGGTCATCCCGGTCAGTAGAGTCGTTTTCGCCCTCTGCCGGTCTGTAGCTTTGTTGTCCCCAATGTCTGCTGCTTGACCTTGTTCTTATGAACCGCTGTCTTTGAAATTTTAAGGACGGAAGCAACCTGACTCTCACTGTATCCCTCTGCCAGTAAAGCCAGAATTGAACCCTTCTTTTCCTCACAAACTTTCCTTTTCAACTCTTTTGGCATGGTCCATAGTTATAATTTTATTAATATTACTTTTGAGCTACTATTAGCACTGTTTTTGCCATCCAGCTGGTCCTATTGCAAAAGGATAGTGATGACCACAGCAGTGGTTTTTATACTTTTCCTCGTTAAATAAGATTTGGTTCAGGTGATCACATAATCAGTACCTAATTCAGTAGAATGAGGTGTGCCTGTGTTGGAATTCAACAGACAATGGAATGGAATGGCTGTCATACATGTAGAGATGCTGATTTAAGAAAGATTTGCTGTGGTCTCTTAATTTTTTCCAGTGCTGTAGGTCCATTATCTTTTCTACATACTTTATATCTGGTTTTTAATCATTAAAGTTTACACTGAAAACGTTTTTCCATCCCAAATTATTATTTATTTTTACAGTTTGGACTTAGGTGACCCGAAAAAACGGTTAGGCGACCCGCCCAAGGATTTCAATGGCAGAAAAATCCCTGTTATATGTAATGGATAATCATCAAGGGGCTATGTGTTCTATGTGAAAATAATGCATGACGTGAATGGTGTGTGCCACGACTAACCTTCCAGGGAGTTGCATTATTTTCCAGAGAACACATAGAGCCCCAAGTTGATTATCACGCTTATGCCATGACTATAATTTAAACACATTTGTCGCTAGAAAATGTGTTCATTTGCCGGTAGAAATGCACTGAAGTAGCTAGCTAGCAAGTTTACTAGGTAGCTACAGTAGTTGCCTTGATAACCAAACAAACAGACTTGCTAGCTTAGCTAACCAAACCATCAGTCCTCTTAGCTTGCTATGAAAATCTAATTCAATAATGGCAATAATATTTTCAATTCATCTTTTGCTTTCAAAAGCAGCTCAAACATAGAACATGTAAGAATGATCTTCATAGCTATTGAATATTGCTGTGCATTATAGGGAAATAATTCACGCTCTCCGCTAGCGCGTCGTGGAACACACCTTCCACGTCATGCATTATTTTCCATGGAAGGCATAGCCCCTTGTTGATGATCCCTTACATAATATTTTATGACATCAGAGTACCTACATGTACTTGGAAGTCTGTGGCTCATTAAACAAACCTTCATGTGGGAGAATAATTAGTATCGCTACTAATGAGGATGGTATGGCATGATAATGATAGTTCATTATTATATGTTACATGAGGATAGAGGTGTATTTCATACATTTGTACAGTGGTGCTATTGTGAAGTAACTTTCGAAAATACCCTTGTAAGAGTTTCTGCTGTTTGCTACATTTCTGATATAGGCAATTTATCGCTCATGGTAAATTGTGAAGAAGCTTTAGAAAAGACCTTTGTAAGATTTTCTGCTGTGTGCTACAGTTTCTGATGTAGGCATTTTATCTTATGGTAAGTACTGAAGAAACTTTTGAAAAGCTATTCAATAGTGCCATATTTGCCATGGTATGAATTCCCACTGTGCTACAATTCTGATGTAACGTGATAAGCTTATGTCTTGTCCCTTCGACGTGATACACAGCTTTGAACGGAGCTACATTTACAGCTGCTGGCAACAATTCACCAGATGTGCTGTTTGTGAACGCATCCTCCACCCACCTCATTTCAGAATGATTATGTTTGTTGATATCGACTCTTAAATTCACAGACCTGTAAACTATTGAGGACGGGTTTGACTACAAGCTGTCATCTACAATAACGTCTCTGGCCATTGGATGTCATGTTATGCTTCCTTGAGACAAATGGGGTTCCCTAAAAGGACCGAAATATTGTCCATATCTCTGGCAAAAGGCATGTATTGTTTGCCTAAGACTAAGAATTATTGTGGTTTCATGAGACACAAAATTCTTAAATATCAAACATATACATGAACCAATATACAGCCAACATTCCTGCCAAAATGTTACAATTGGAAACTTCCAAAGTGTATTTTTAATTAGTCCCTCCCCTACAACCAGTCTCTCCTCTGTGATTGGTCTGAGGGCCTGTCCGCTAAACCTGTGTCTCCCATGTGATTGGTGCAGAGTCCAGGGACCGGGGCAGTGTGACCAGTCTGAGCAGTGACTTCTCTCTGATCACGGAGGACGCGGGTGGAGCCACCTGCCTCACCAACGATGCCGTGGACCTGTTTTCCGGTCAGCCCCTGGGAGCCTCCAGCTGGTGAGTTCTCCTCCCCCTCTGTCTGTCTGATGAAAGTTGGTGTGACCCAAAACATTAGTATAAAAAAACATCTTTATAAGATGATTTAGTTAGCAGACACTTTTTGTCTGCCCTGCTCTGTATGTGATGTCATGTTGACAAATCTTCCTTTCATCGAATTAAGTCTAGTATGGTTCTAACTTCTATGGAGAGAGTGCCGTGTGTTCTCAGCCAATTTGCCTAAAGAATGCTAAATTAAGGGTTAGATAAAGTCAAGACTAACTCTCCTTTTCTGTGGCCTCCCAGGAGGAAGGGGCACACCTCGTCCCCCCAGACGGTGCTGTGGAACCGGCCCAACCCCCTGCAGGAGCGGCTGGCCCACCCCCTCAGTCAAGAGGCCAAGTCCTCCAGCTCTTCCTCCTCCAACCAATCAGAGCCGGGTTTCACGCGCGCCGGCAGCAGTCCTATGTCTGTGCCTGGGAGCAGTCCTATGTCTGTGCCCGGGAGAAGGTAAGCCTTCACTTAGATGTCAGTCACAGTGTTTTATTTGAATGATTTTTTTTCAGTTTATTCAGACGCGATAGTATGAAATGAGTGTGGAAACAGAGAAATAGAGGTGCAGAATGGTGCTGGGGCCGGGATTCTGTGTATATGTGCTTCAGGCGGCGTTAACTGCTAGACCAACCTCAAGCACAGTCGGTCACACTTTATGGGCTCCAACCACGATGATGAAAGGGATGCCATGTTTCAACTACCTGTCTGTCTGCCCGTCTTTGTAAATGGATTGACTGCAACTGCAAACTGTTTTTGGCTGTTCTGCATGAAAGGTGAATAACTGCATGTTAAATTAGAAAGTCTAACCAAGTCTGCAGAGGGACAAATGGGGGTTGTCCCAGGGCACAGACTCTCAGGGCCAAGGCACACACATGTCCATGCATCCCCTGGTGAGACATTGTGGTGAGGCAGTGTTTTCTAATGGGGTGACAGAGCAGACCTGGATTCTAGCTCTTCACTAGTGAGTGCGTGCATGGCGGTTGATCTCTCAGTGCTGCTTAATAATTCCCTTCTTTGTAAAGAGGAGATCTGGATACTTACGTCTGTGTGTGTGTGTGTGTGTGTGTGTCACCGGTGTGTTAGTACAGCTCATCTTACTTGAGATCCTTGGTCGTTTTCAATTTGCATGAAAATGGAAGGTGTGTGTGTTTGGTATTTGATTCAAACTCCAATTATTGTCATTCCACTAACATTAGGGTATGCAGTATGTGTAATATCCATCTGACGTTTTTCTATGCATGTTGACTTGCCTTGTTAATCCTTGAGCGGATAAATAAAGTTATATTGGATTGAGTTGAATTTAATTGAGTGTTGTCCATTAAAGCAAATCTAGAGTTGCATTTGACCATTGACTTTTGCCAAGGAGGTCACAACCCCGAGCCGTGAAGCCCCCCCACTGACCTCATAGCTCATTGCCCTGTAACTGAGACCCTCACAACTCGCCCATGACCCATGACCTCTGGACTCTATCTCTCTCCTCTCTCCCCATTTCATTTCCTTATTCTCTTGGCTCTTCCACTCCATCTTTGTTTGTTTCTCTCCCTCTCCTCCCCCCTCCTTCTTCTCCCTCTCTCCACTCACCCCCCCTCTCTACCCTCTCGCTCTCCCATCCCCTCTCCCCCATCCCTCTCCCCCTCTTCCCTCCCCCCTCTCCCATCCCCTCTCTCTCCCTCCCTCTCTCCCTCTCCCCACTCCCTCTCTCTCTCCCTCCCTCTCCCTCTCCTCCACTCCCTCTCTTCCTCCACTCTCCCCTCTCTCCCTCCCCTCTCTCTCCACTCCCTCTCTCTCCTCCCTCCCCATCTCTCTCTCCACTCCCCCTCTCTCTCCCCCTCCCCCTCCTCTCTCCACACTCTCCTCCTCTCTACTCCCTCCCGCCCACTCCCCTCTCTCCCACTTCTCTCCTACTCCCCCCCTCTCTCCACTCCCCCCTCTCCCCCTCCCCTCTTCTCTCCCCCTCCCCCCCCCTTCTTCTCCACACTCCCCCTCTCTCCCACTCCCTCTCTGCTCCACTCCCCCTATCTCCACTCCCCCTCTCTCCACACTCTCTTCCTCCTCGCTACTTTCCCCCCCTCTCTCCACTCCCTCCCTCTCTCCACTCCTTCCCCTCTTCTCCACACTCCCTCTCTCTCTCCCACACTCCCTCTCTCTCTACACTCCCCCCCTCTCTCCACTCCCTCTCTCTCTCCACTCCCTCTCTCTCTACACTCTCCCTCTCTCTCTACACTCTCCCTCTCTCTCTACACTCTCCCTCTCTCTCTCTACACTCCCTCTCTCTCTACACTCCCTCTCTCTCTCCACTCCTCCTGCCCCCTTTCCCCCCTTCTCTCTCAACCTCTCCTCTCTCTATTGTGGCCAGGCTGGGGGCAGAGTACGCCCGCTCAGGCTCTTCCCTCTCCACGGACTACGGCAGCTGGCAGATCGTGTCGGGCTGTGGCTCCATCCACGACCACGGACAGTTCCTGCCAATCCCCGCCACCATGGCCGCCAACGACTTGCCCCTCCCTTTTATCTTCCAGGACGAGGGGCCCAGCGGACGCATGTGAGTCTACGGGCTGCGTCCAAAAATGGCACCAGGTCCCCTATATAGTGTATGACTTTTTACCAGGGTTAGGGCTCTGGTCAAAAGTAGTGCACTATATAGGGAATAGCGTGTCATTTGGGACGCACACTCGGATCACGTTCCGATTCTCAACCCTTCTCCCGGAAGTGTGTGCAGTTGCTCACTTCCCCGGTATATTTAAAAGCATTGGATTGGTGCATGGGCTGAAGGGAGTTTACACCATATTCCTCACACCAGTCCATTCCTTTTAAATCCACCAGGGGGAGTGTACACTTTAGCAGAATGGTAGAGAATTGGAACGCAGCCATGCACACCTCTAACTCTCCGGAATAGCACTCCTCTCTCTCTCTCTCTCTCTCTCTCGCTCTTACCTCTTCTCGTCCCTCACTTCACCTCCTTCTTCTGTCACCCTGTTCCGTTCCTGTCACCCCGTTCCGTTCCTGTCACCCCCCGTTCCGTTCCTGTCCCGACATTCTGTTCCTATGTGAGAGAGGAGGCGGAGGTCCGGGGCTCAGTAAGGGTTTGGGCCTTCTGTTGGGCTGGCCCACTGCTGTGTGTGTTTGTGTGTGTGTCACACACCTGCAGAATGTGTTTAAGTGACAAAAGAGTGTGTTGGGCAGGATGTGTGTGTGGGTCCCTGGTGTGTGTCTGTGTGTGTACACATTCACAACATTGTTCAGCGGACTCTGTTTAGGCAGTCTCCATATACACAGCACACACTGATGGTCTAAGCAATGTGTGCGTTTGTGCTCCTGTACTTTTCAGACTAGGGAACTGAACATTTGCCTCATCATTCTTTGTCCCCTGCGAACCGGAGGAATAAGTACAACTGGAAGGAAAGAGGGAGGGAGGGAAGGAGTTTATTTTCCATCTGTCTCTTTTCATTTTCCAGACTCCTTCTCTTCCCAGTGGGGGACATATTTCCATTTCAGCTTGATCTGGCTGCCAAATTGAGTGTGTCCCGAGAACAACGCTCGCAGGCGGCATAGGCAAATAACATCTATCCATCTTGATTTGAAGGGAGAGCGAGGGGTTAGAGAGAGGGAGGGGTTAGAGAGAGGAGAGACAGCCAGCCAGACAGCATGCGGTCTCTGATTGTGAATTTCCATGTACACTGTGTCCCTCTTTCAGAACTAAAAGATGGGTTCTCTCTTTTCTTTTTCCTCTCTTCTTGTGTCCTTCTCTCTCTCCTCATCTCCTCTTCCCTAAATTCACTCCCCTCTACTGTTTACTGTCTTCTCTCCTCTCTCTCCACCCTCTCTCTCTCCCACCCTCTCTCTCTCCCTCTCTCCCCCTTCTCTCCATCTCTCCCCATCTCCCCCCCCCCCCCTCTCTCTCCCTCTTCCCTCCCTCTCTACCTCCCCTCTCCTCCCTGTCTCTCTCTCCCAGGTGCCCGTCCCCCTCAGAGCGTCAGGCTCGTCTGGAGGCAGTGAGGGAGGTATTCCTGGTTGCCTACAGCTCCACCGTGGGCCTCAAGTCCAGCGCGCCCAGCCCCTCTGGCGCCATCTCAGGCCTCCTGGAGCAGTTTGCCCGCGGCGTGGGCCTCCGAAGCACCAACAGCATCGTCTGATCTAGGATCAGGTCCCCCAACCCCAAGTGTGAACTCTGGGCCCGTAATTATTGTAATCATATAGTGTCTCAGAGTAGGAGTGCTGATATAAGATCCGTTTTTTTCCTCTTAGATCATATGGACAGGAAGGCCTGATTCTAGATCAGCACTCCTACCGTGAGGCTCTTTGTGAATAATAACGGTTGAATTGCGGTCCACAATCCGCATTCATCTCCATCGGGGGAAGCTACATCTCGTATGGACTCTAATAAAAATAAAAAGTGCCAAACTCCTCTACTCTATCCAGGGGCTGAAGCGTCCTTTATATTTGTTCGTAAAAAAATGTTTCCTTCTATTATTGTAAATCTCAAACGTTACATAGCCTGGATTTATTTTGTTCTTTCATTTCTCTTTTTTAAAAATGTTTTATTCATGCCGTTCGAACTTTATCTCTGAAGTTATTCATTTTTTAGTTTGCCACACATTTGTGTTGATTCAGGGAGTGTCTCGGGGGGGATAGCAATGTCAGCCACCTGGGAGAGAGACAGGGAGGAGAGGGGGGGGGGGGGGGGGGGGGTAGAATAAGGGAAAGCCATTGTACTTAAACATGTGCAGCATTTTTCTTAGAGTTTGGTGCTATGAGTGTGGTCAGAGTAAAATTGACTTGTTACATGCAGAGCATTCAAAGCATATAATGTGGAGTTCTTCCTCTTCTGTTTTTCAAATAATTATTTGGGATTTAATGTGCTGATCGTCCTAAATCGAGGACGCCACACTCTTTTCTTCAGTGACCGAACACTCAAAAAAGCTGCTATTCAGTGCTGAATCAAAAGGAAGCGTTGTAGTGGATACTGTGGTTGTCATACAAACAGCACTAGCTAAGTGTGTCAGGGCAATAGAAACATGCTGTTTCTTTTTATAACCAAATGTGGCATAGAAAAGTCAAATATCAAGCTTAATTTTGTTGAATTTAATATATCAGCCTATTTTTGAATTGGTTACTCATTTTTAATAATTGGACTTGTGGTCAGTTAAGTCACTTTTATGTGTAGACTTTTAAGCAAAGAAATGTTGCATTGTCACCCTACAAATCATTTTCATACTGTCTTCAGTATGGCTATGTGCACATACACACCATCATTAGACTGGTCCCAGACCTGTTTGTGCTGTCATGCCGACGTCTACGGTTGTGACGTGAACAGATCCAGGCTACACCATCATTAGACTGGTCCCAGACCTGTTTGTGCTCTCATGCCGACGTCTACGTTTGTGACGTGAACAGATCCAGGCTACACCATCATTACCTGGGCTGCAGACCACACACCAGAAGCCAGTCCTATTACTGGGCTGTGTTGAAAGCCTTAGAAGTTCTTTAAAATTCCTTCACAAGGTTTAGATTTGAGCCCACTTCTGACAGCTATTCATATGGTCAGTCACTTCATCTCTCAACTTTTGTCTCTCAGTTGTGCAACATGACGGCTCCGAGCCACACTGCTGTCAGCCTTTATCGTTTTATGTACGTTTGTGGCTGCGTTCCAGGGCGACTACATTGCAGTCGCCTCGCGACACCTGGATAGGTGTTAATCGTATCAACTTACTGCATCAGATAATCTAGCAATCTGAAACCTGACTGCAGTCAAAGACATGGCACAGAACCATTGGTTGATGCGAGCAGCATGACTGCAATGTAGTCAGCCTGGAACATGACCTCTCTCTTTGTGACTTAAGCTGGCTTCACGTGCTCGTGGGAAGTCGTAAGTCCGGCATGAGTTTGTTCAAGTGCTTTTAAAGTCAGAACAATTATTCAACCATTAAGATTTCAGCTAGCTTGATGAGCTAGCTAAGGGTGGATTTACATTAGTAAACTATGTCTAGTGAGATCTGTCTTTAACATCAGATGTGCAACTTTTCTGTTTACACTACCTTGAATGTGGTGTGGCCAAAGCCACATTCCTGCTTCATGTGTGAGTTCAGCTATTAACATACCGTAAATACCTATAGTTTATAGATCAACAGGTTTATAGACAGAAAGGTTAGCAATTCAAACTTTACAGGAGCTTCTCATCTAAAACATATTGCACATAGTGTTGCTAAGGAGGTAGTGAGGGAGACATGTTAGAGATATTTGAATCTACATCCGTCTCTTTACATTACACAAGTATCTCTTCTGGACCCATCTCTTTCTGTTGTGAAAGTAGTGTAGTGTAAAGAGGCCCTAACATTGCTAATAATAAAGTTAGCTAGCTTGCTTAACATTGACAATATTGTCAAACTAGCTACATTATCCACATTGACAAGGTTGTAATAGTCAAAAACGGATTTGTTGCCATCTTTTGGTTGAAAAGGTAAAAGCTCAGTCCGTGGTGAAACGGCACAACTCTGGTAACAACATTTTCTCAGTTTCCCTATTTGTAATTCCGATTTGGAGGGTCTTTCAAGTGAAATTTCCAACTGGGTTCTAGACGCTTCCGATAACTCTGATAGCACGTGAAGGCTGCATTAATGGCCTAGTAAAAGCTATCTTGCTGCATGAGCCAGTTGACTTGGGGCTTACTTTGGATCAGTTCGCTGCCACTGAACAGTGATCTCTCCCTATCTATCCTATCCTCTCTCTACTATCTCAGTTATCACTTCTTCTTTGAGATCCGAAACAAGCCTTTTAGATCAGGAAGATGACTGGCCACGTTACAGGCCAACTACATTGCTGTTGCCTGCCAGATCACACAACGCCTGGATAGGTGTTTAACAAACCTAACCACATCATATGATGAAGTAAATTTGATGCCCGACTGCTAAATCGATGACGTGGCACGCACCCATTGGTTGCTGCATGACTGCAATGTAGTCGGCCTGGAAAGTGACCATTAGGGAGGTAGCAATTATGTGGGCCAATGGCAGTGTTGTGGCGTCATTGCGTTGAGAGAGAATAGTTTAATGCCTCGATCACGTCATCGGAGATTCTGAAATGTACGACTTGCTGACTGGTAGAAAGATGGTACCCTAGTTTCCCACTTGGGAAGGATCAGAATCAACCAATAGGAAGCTCTACGCAAATAATTTGCATTCATTTTAACTCGAAGGTCCCGAGATTCCGAAAAGAGCTGAACCCGGCATTAGCCAGCACTTACTGGGATTTTTTTTAGCTTGATTGCGACGCCAAATGGTTTCGACGGCTGCAGTACAGTACTGTGCCTCAGGACCTTTTGTTGTGCCTTTTCACCGGGAGCAGTGGAAGAGATTCTTATACGGCTTGAGTTGTTAAAAAAATATATATATTTTTTTGAGAATCCACAACGAAAGGCAAGCTGCGAGCTAGTGGCTTTTCCCCTCTATATCAATCACTTGAATGGAAAATGATTTATATTTGTTCAGTCTTTGTTCATTCACATTTGTCAATGGCAATTGATCATGATGAACAGCCTTCTGTAAAGTCTGTTGGGATTAGATATTTATGTCAATCAGTAGGGTCTAGAGCTGTTAAGGGGGAGGGGTTGGTTAAGATTCAAGGATATTGGTGCGAGATGTTACCTTTTGTAGAGTACTCTCACTTGTCAACCAGTGTGCAGACTGATGCAATATTGTACATCTGGGTATACCTCAATTGTCCATTCTCTGTCTCATTCAATCTTCCAACAGTCTACTTAATTGGAAGCTTACTTGGTGACTTGATTTTACTTGTCCAATCCTTTAAAATCAAATAAAGGAAACCACTGTGCCATTGGTCCTTCCTCCCATGTCCTGTATTAATCAACTGATATGATTTACCATACCAGAGAAATGATTGAATATGTCCACGGTAGGATACATTGGTGGCACTTGGTTCTATTCCTAAAGGTCCCTGTTGGTGGCTATAAGCAGCCTGCCAGCCCCAGAGTCCGTAGATCATTTATTTGCAGTTGATCCATACCGCTTCACACTTTAGGATTACACAAGCACCTGAAGCGATTGTTCAACTCATCCATGTTTTTGCATGTAATTTCCCCAACTAATTAAAACTAGTTGAATACAGTACATGGATATATTTTATTTTAATATTTTTTTTCCCCCCCTCTTGATTTTACTGAAATGCTGCATTGGACAATCATTATCCTGTATATTGTATGTTTTTATTTTATCTTGTTTTTTTCGTTTTTAAATTGCTCTTAATTGTCGCCAGTGAGGCTACATTGAGAAAGCTGAATTGATCTTCAGGTGGTAATTATGAATAAAGAAAACTTTTTTTTTTGTATGTACAATAATTTCTACCCTGAATCATTGATCCTATATTTTAGACTTTAAAAGATGTGCAGAGAAACGGGCCACTGGCTATAGGCTCTGCTGGCTATGCTGATTTTCACATTCTCTGCAAACCCAGTGTTTTAATCATAGAGATCATATCATTCATTATGATTAGGCTATCAGGAATTATATGATCATTGTATAATTCATTATATCTAATTCTATGGTTCTGGTCAAATGGTGACAGTAGTCTATGTGGTAAGCCTACACTTTTTAAATGTTTATTTATTGTTTTAAAAAATTTCTATGGAGGTCCATCCTCCCTTTCCTGTCCTAACTGGGGGAAGCTCCACTGGTGACCTATTGTGGGACTAACCTACAGTTGAAGTCGGAAGTTTACATACACTTAGGTTGGAGTCATTAAAACTTGTTTTTCAACCACTCCACAAATTTCTTGTTAACCAACTATAGTTTTGGCAAGTCATCTACTTTGGCAAGTCATCTACTTTGCAAGGACATCTACTTTGTGCATGACACAAGTAATTTTTCCAACAATTGTTTACAGACAGATTATTTATCTTATAATTCACTGTATCACAATTCCAGTGGGTCAGAAGTTTACATACACTAAATTGACTGTGCCTTTTAAACAGCTTGGAAAATTCCAGAAAATGATGTCATGGCTTTAGAAGCTTCTGATAGGCTAATTGACATAATTTGAGTCAATTGGAGGTGTACCTGTGGATGTATTTCAAGGCCTACCTTCAAACTCAGTGCCTCTTTTCTTGACATCATGGGAAAATCAAAAGAAATCAGCCAAGACCTCAGACATTTTTTTGTAGACCTCCACAAGTCTAGATCATCCTTGGGATGAACGCCTGAAGGTACCACGTTCATCTGTACAAACAATAGTAAGCAAGTATAAACACCATGGGACCACGCAGCTGTCATACTGCTCAGGAAGGAGACGCGTTCTGTCTCCTAGAGATGAACGTACGTTGGTGCGAAAAGTGCAAATCAATCCCAGAACAACAGCAAAGGACCTTGTGAAGATGCTGGAGGAAACGGGTATAAAAGTATCTATATCCACAGTAAAACAAGTCCTATATTGACATAACCTGAAAGGCCGCTCAGCAAGGAAGAAGCCACTGCTCCAAAACCGCCATAATAAAGACAGACTACGGTTTGCAACTGCACATGTGACAAAGATTGTACTTTTTGGAGAAATGTCCTCTGGTCTGATGAAACAAAAATAGAACTGTTTGGCCATAATGACCATCGTTATGTTTGGAGGAAAAAGGGGGTTGCTTGCAAGCCGAAGAACACCATCCCAACCGTGAAGCACGGGGGTGGCAGCATCATGCTGTAGGGGTGCTTTGCTGCAGGAGGGACTGGTGCACTTCACAAAATAGATGGCATCATGAGGAAGGAAAATTATGTGGATATATTGAAGCAACATCTCAAGACATCAGTCAGGAAGTTAAAGCTTGGTCGCAAATGGGTCTTCCAAATGGACAATGACCCCAAGCATACTTCCAAAGTTGTGGCAAAATGGCTTAAGGACAACAAAGTCAAGGACCTCAATCCTATAGAAAATGTGTGGGCAGAACTGAAAAAGCGTGTGCGAGCAAGGAGGCCTACAAACTTGACTCAGTTACACCAGCTCTGTCAGGAGGAATGGGCCAAAATTCACCCAACTTATTGTGGGAAGCTTGTGGAAGGCTACCCGAAACGTTTAACCCAAGTTAAACAATTTAAAGGCAATGCTACCAACTACTAATGGTTTATGCAAACTTCTGACCCACTGGGAATGTGATGAAAGAAATAAAAGATGAAAGAAATAATTCTCTCTACTATTATTCTGACATTTCACATTCATAAAATAAAGTGGTGATCCTAACTGACCTAAGACAGGGAATTTCTACTAGGATTAAATGTCAGGAATTGTGAAAAACTGAGTTTAAATGTATTTGGCTAAGGTGTATGTAAACTTCCGACTTAACTGTTATATATTCTTGATATTGTGAAGTAAAACACATTTATCATTTCCTATCCACACACACCCCTATTTACTATCTTCTTTAAAAAATTAAAATAATACACAGTTGAGCTGCATAGAGCACACACGTTAATGCCGCATTAACTTGAAATCCAACAATTCTGCTGGCAGCAACTTCCGAAAGTCTCTGCTTCCACCTGCAGATGGATAAGCAAAAAAACGGCGCGAAGGACCCGTCAATGCGTTCCAAATGACGCGCACTACGTTCTCTTGCGCTCCTCAATGAATGAAATAGCATCCACCACCACACTTTCATGCATGGAATGTCTCTAGCGCTGCCCCACTTGCCTCATCCACAGGTATGCACCTCGCGCTCAACTCTGAAGCTATTTGGTGCTTTTGTCTCTTTTTCTTCCAGGTGAATGGAACATATTTTCAAACAAAATATCGGCCAAGAGTAGTGGCAGATCAAAGCTGAGAAGTTCACATTTAAGAAGAACTGATTTGAAGCCTGACCATGGCGACAATTGGGGATTTCGACCCGCTCAACTCCACCGTACCTGCGACTAAAATAGAACTTACCGTCTCGTGCAGGTAAGACCAGTGTAATCACAACGTATCCAATGTCATTATTGAATAAAACATGTTAGATATACGCTGTTGATAATGTTGTAGAATGATAGACTATCAACTGGAATGAGTGTTGTAGCCTATATCTTATTTGGCACGGAGCCGTTTGCGCATCAATATTTTGCACATAATTAGTACCTCAACTATACTCAAACCTCTGTTGGCTAAAGTCGTGATTTCATTTTTTTTTTATCTCAATAAGTGTCTTTGTATCTCTGTGCAAAACTCAGACGCTTGCAAGGAATTTGCATTAACAGTGGGTATAGAGCTGCGTGGGGGTACAGCAGCATAACGGTATTAGTAATTCTGAGTGGCTTCGAGAGAGCTCCAACAGGCGTAACTCACAGATCACATGGATAGGTTATGGATATTAATACGCCGCCGTCCATGTTCTTGTCACATTCAAATCAGCTAGACGGTGTGTGAGAGGAAGGAGTAGGTGCTCACATTTTATTCAGGTCAGGAGTGCCGTGCGCACTTCTCCATCACTTATTTTCACAGTGGAACTTTGCATGTCCAAGAAGAAGAATTACGTAGGTACCACTGGAATCGAGATTCTGTCCTAACCAATGCCTTGATTCATAGTGTTTGACCTGGTAAACACAAGTAGGCCCTATACAGCCTAGTTGTCTTAAAGCCTGTTGGAGCGCTAAGCTTGGTGCACCTTAGTCCTTATTTAGGGGATTTACTTAGGCTTACTTGAAAAACAAAAGCCACATGGGTAGGTGGAAAGAACATCATTATGTTGCTTTCATTATTTACAGCTACATGTTTCCACTTATATGTTGGATAAATCACAATCATAGGCTAAAAATTCATTTTAAATACAATCCCATTAATTCATGACATCTGTTCAGACACAGTTGAAAACAGTTTTTTTAAATGTAGATTTCAGTAGGCTACATCTTCAGCTGCAAGTATAGATTGAAAGGAAATAGCTAACAAAAGTAATTTTCTTTAAACAAACTTGTTTGGGTGGCAAATGTAAATATTGGCGAGTTTAGCATTTTCAGCCTACCTCGGCCTATGGAACAGACAGGGCTGGTCTACAGGGGGGCGGGTTGGCAAGGGGGGATTGTCTGACACTGACAGAATGGGGTTGGGTGAATTCCCCTCTGAAACACACACTCCATGGCAACTGGGCATCAGCTGTGAATATGAGAGAGTACTTGGCGCATAGAGACCCACAGGGTCTTGACAGCCAAACTCAGAAAAATACATGAATAATCAAAACAAACAGGCCATAGTCAGTGGGCCAGTTAATTTTATTTTGTTATTTCTTAGAGGGTAGATTGTGGCTTCTATCAATGTAATTATCTGCATAATTTCCAATCCCCCATATATTGTTTGGTAAATACACTGCTCAAAAAAATAAAGGGAACACTAAAATAACACATCCTAGATCTGAATGAATGAAATAATCTTTTTAAATACTTTTTTCTTTACATAGTTGAATGTGCTGACAACAAAATCACACAAAAATTATCAATGGAAATCAAATTTATCAACCCATGGAGGGCTGGATTTGGAGTCACCCTCAAAATTAAAGTGGAAAACCACACTACAGGCTGATCCAACTTTGATGTAATGTCCTTAAAATAAGTCAAAATGAGGCTCAGTAGTGTGTGTGGCCTCCACGTGCCTGTATGACCTCCCTACAACGCCTGGGCATGCTCCTGATGAGGTGGCGGATGGTCTCCTGAGGGATCTCCTCCCAGACCTGGACTAAAGCATCCGCCAACTCCTGGACAGTCTGTGGTGCAACGTGCCGTTGGTGGTTGGAGCGAGACATGATGTCCCAGATGTGCTCAATTGGATTCATGTCTGGGGAACGGGCGGGCCAGTCCATAGCATCAATGCCTTCCTCTTGCAGGAACTGCTGACACACTCCAGCCACATGAGGTCTAGCATTGTCTTGCATTAGGAGGAACCCAGGGCCAACCGCACCAGCATATGGTCTCACAAGGGGTCTGAGGATCTCATCTCGGTACCTAATGGCAGTCAGGCTACCTCTGGCGAGCACATGGAGGGCTGTGCGGCCCCCCAAAGAAATGCCAACCCACACCATGACTGACCCACCGCCAAACCGGTCATGCTGGAGGATGTTGCAGGCAGCAGAACGTTCTCCACGGCGTCTCCAGACTCTGTCACGTCTGTCACATGTGCTCAGTGTGAACCTGCTTTCATCTGTGAAGAGCACAGGGCGCCAGTGGCGAATTTGCCAATCTTGGTGTTCTCTGGCAAATGCCAAACGTCCTGCACAGTGTTGGGCTGTAAGCACAACCCCCACCTGTGGACGTCGGGCCCTCATACCACCCTCATGGAGTCTGTTTCTGACTGTTTGAGCAGACACATGCACATTTGTTGCCTGCTGGAGGTCATTTTGCAGGGCTCTGGCAGTGCTCCTCCTGCTCCTCCTTGCACAAAGGCGGAGGTAGCAGTCCTGCTGCTGGGTTGTTGCCCTCCTACGGCCTCCTCCACATCTCCTGATGTACTGGCCTGTCTCCTGGTAGCGCCTCCATGCTCTGGACACTACGCTGACAGACACAGCAAACCTTCTTGCCACAGCTCGCATTGATGTGCCATCCTGGATGAGCTGCACTACCTGAGCCACTTGTGTGGGTTGTAGACTCCATCTCATGCTACCACTAGGGTGAAAGCACCGCCAGCATTCAAAAGTGACCAAAACATCAGCCAGGAAGCATAGGAACTGAGAAGTGGTCTGTGGTCACCACCTGCAAAACCAGTCCTTTATTGGGGGTGTCTTGCTAATTGCCTATAATTTCCACCTGTTGTCTATTCCATTTGCACAACAGCATGTGAAATTTATTGTCAATCAGTGTTGCTTCCTAAGTGGACAGTTTGATTTCACAGAAGTGTGATTTACTTGGAGTTACATTTTGTTGTTTAAGTGTTCCCTTTATTTTTTGAGCAGTGTATATACACTACCGGTCAAAAGTTTTAGAACACCTACTCATTCATTTTTACTATTTTCTACATTGTAGAATAATAGTGAAGACATCAAAACTATGAAATAACACATATGGAAGCATGTAGTAACCAAAGAAGTGTTAAACAAATCAAAATATATTTTATATTTGAGATTCTTCAAAGTAACCACCCTTTGCCCTGATGACAGCTTTGCATACTCTTGGCATTCTCTCAACCAGTTTGATGAGGTGTGCCTTCTTAAAAGTTAATTTGTGGAATTTCTTTCCTTCTTAATGCGTTTGAGCCAATCAGTTGTGTTTTGACAAGGTGGGGGGGGGGGGGGGGGGGGGGGTATACAGAAGATAGTCCTATTTGGTAAAAGACCAAGTCCTTATTATGGCAAGAACAGCTCAAATAAGCAAAGAGAAACGACAGTCCATCATTACTTTAAGACATGAAGTTCAGTCAATATGGAAAATGTCAAGAACTTTGAAAGTTTCTTCAAGTGCAGTCGCAAAAACCATCAAGCACTATGATGAAACTGGCTCTCATTTGGACATCCACAGGAATGGAAGACCCAGAGTTACCTCTGCAGCAGAGGATAAATTCATTAGAGTTACCAGCCTCAGAAATTGCAGCCCAAATAATGCTTCACAGAGTTCAAGTAACAGAAACATCTCAACATCAACTGTTCAGAGGAGACTGTGTGAATCAGGCCTTCATGGTCAAATTGCTGCAAAGAAACCACTAATAAAGGACACCAATAATAAGAAGAGACTTGCTTGGGCCAAGAAATATAAGCAATGGACATTAGACCGGTGGAAATTTGGTTTGAGTCCAAATTTGAGAGTTTTGGTTCCAACCGCCGTGTCTTTGTGAGACGCGGTGTGGGTGAAAGGTTGATGTCCACATGTGTATTTCCCACCGTAAAGCACGGAGGAGGAGGTGTTATGGTGTGGGGGTGCTTTGCTGTTGACACTGTCTGTCATTTTTTTTAGAATTCAAGGCACACATAACCAGCATGGCTACCACAGCATTCTGTAGCGATACGCCATCCCATCTGGTTTGGGTTTAGTGGGACTATCATTTGTTTTTCAACAGGACAATGACCGAACACACCTCCAGGCTGTGTAATGGCTATTTTACTAAGAGGGAGAGTGATGGAGTGCTGCATCAGATGAACTGCCCTCCACAATCCCCTGACCTCAACCAAATTGAGATTGTTTGGGATGAGTCGGACCTCAGAGTGAAGGAAAAGCAGCCAACAAGTGCTCAGCATATGTGGGAACTCCTTCAAGTCTGTTGGAAAAGCATTCCAGGTGAAACTGGTTGAGAGAATGTCAAGAGTGTGCAAAGCTGTCATCAAAGCAAAGGGTGGGTATTTGAAGAATCTCAAATATAAAATATATTTTGATTGGTTTAACACTTTTTTGCTTACTACCTGATTCCATATGTGTTATTTCATAGTTTTGATGTCTTCACTATTATTCTACAATGTAAAAAATAGTACAAATAAAGAAAAAGCCTTTATTGAGTAGGTGTGTCCAAACTTTTGACTGGTAGTGTAAGTATTCAGACCCTTTACTCAGTACGTTGTTGAATCACCTTTGGCAGCGATTACAGCCTCAAGTCTTCTTGGGTATGACACTACAAGCTTGGCACACCTGTATTTGGGGCGTTTCTCCCATTATTCTCTGCAGATCCTCTCAAGCTCTGTCAGGTTGCATGGGGAGCGTCGCTGCACAGCTATTTTCAGGTCTCTCCAGAGATGTTCAATCGGGATCAAGTCCTGGCTCTGGCTGGGCCACTCAAGGACATTCAGAGACTTGTCCCGAAGCCACTCCTGCGTTGTCTTGGCTGTGTGCTTAGGGTCGTTGTCCTTCGCCCCAGTCTGAGGTCCTGAGCGCTCTGGAGCAGGTTTTCATCAAGGATTTCACTGTACTTGGCTCCGTTCATCTTTCCCTTGATCCTGACTAGTCTCCCAGTCACTGCCACTGAAAAACATCCCCACAGCATGATGCTGCCACCACCATGCTTCATCTTAGGGATGGTGCCAGGTTTCCTCCAGATGTAACGCTTGGCATTCAGGCCAAAGAGTTCAATCTTGGTTTCATCAGACCAGAGAATCTTGTTTCTCATGGTCTGAGAGTCCTTTATGTGCCTTTTGGCAAACTCCAAGCGGGCTGTCATGTGCCTTTTACTGAGGAGTGGCTTCCGTCTGGCCACTCTACCATAAAGGCCTGATTGGTGGAGTGCTGCAGAGATGGTTGTCCTTCTGGAAGGTTCTCCCATCTCCACAGAGGAACTCTGGAGCTCTGTCAGAGTGACCATTGGGTTCTTGGTCACCTCCCTGACCAATGCCCTTCTCCCCCGATTGCTCAGTTTGGCCAGGCGGCCAGCTCTAGAAAGAGTCTTGATAGTTCCAAACTTCTTCCATTTTAAGAATGATGGAGGCCACTGTGTTATTGGGGCCCTTCAATGCTGCAGAAATGTTTTGGTACCCTTCCCCAGATCTGTGCCTCGACACAATCCTGTCTCGGAGCTCTATGGACAATTCCTTCGATCGCATGGCTTGGTTTTTGCTCTGACATGCGCTGTCAACTGTGGGACCTTATATAGACAGGTGTGTGCCTTTCCAAATCATGTCCAATCAATTGAATCTACCACAGGTGGACTCCAATCAAGTTGTAGAAACATCTCAAGGATGATCAATGGAAACAGGATGCACCTGAGCTCAATTTCGAGTCTTATTGCAAAGGATCTGAATACTTATGTAAATAAGGTATTTCTGTTTTTTTTTAAATAATAAATGTGCAAAAATTTTAATAACTGTTTTTCGCTTTGTCATTATTGGGTATTGTGTGTAGATTGATGAGGAAAATTGTTTATTTAATCCATTTTAGAATAAGGTTGTAACCTTACAAAATTTGGAAAAAGGGAAGGGGTCTGAATACTTTCCGAATGCACTGTATATGACAATTATTTGATGGTTTGACCGCATTCTGTCCCCTATCAACACTTTTTAAACTTTTGGTGCCAGCGAGAATGACATAAGAAAGTAGTCAAGATGGCTAGCTTGATTGAGCCTCCTCCATGTATATCTCACTAGGTCAGGTTATTTAAGCCTCCATATATCCACTAGTTCCAATATATCCATGATATTTGTGATTTCTTTAAGTGCATGAGTGGGATAGTTTGTAGTGTGATTTCCTTTACGGTCCATTGAGGTATTTAAAACCGTATTATAATCTCCCTCCATTTTAATAGAGTCTTGTAAATATGGGAGAAGTTTATTTCGCCCCCTCAGTAATTTTCCCACACAACTTAATCTAAAATGGTTGAATGAGTTTCCTGTAAACAATAGCTATTATATTCCTTCTCTTTTAGCAGGTAAATACTGATCGTCTTTTCTTATTATCTGCTAAGCCATTACAATTATAACTGGTTATACTTATTTCACCATTTACCATAATGAGATACAAGTTTCAATTATATTTATCATAATATACTGTATGTTTGTAAACTTACAATTACAAAGTACCATGATGATTGAGTGTCCAATAGCTTTACCATGATATTTGCACTGCTACTGAGTAAACCTCCAATTGTTCTCTACTCCCCCCATCCCAAGTTGGGTTGTCGTCCCAGTGACTGGCAGACCACCCTGTCCACCTGGATCCTCGGGCCTTTGAGATATTGGGACCCATCCTTTGAAAAGAGCACACAGTGCCACCTACAGAATAGAAGCAGATCAACAGCCAAAAGCAATTCCAACGCCCTCACCTCGATTTTACTGTATACAGTTATTCAAAATATACAGTGAGGGAAAAAAGTATTTGATCCCCTGCTGATTTTGTACGTTTGCCCACTGACAAAGAAATGATCAGTCTATAATTTTAATGGTAGGTTTATTTGAACAGTGAGAGACAGAATAACAACAAAGAAATCCAGAACAACGCTTGTCAAAAATGTTATAAATTGATTTGCATTTTAATGAGGGAAATCAGTATTTGACCCCCTCTCAATCAGAAAGATTTCTGGCTCCCAGGTGTCTTTTATAGAGGTAACGAGCTGAGATTAGGAGCACACACTTAAAGGGAGTGCTCCTAATCTCAGCTTGTTACCTGTATAAAAGACACCTGTCCACAGAAGCAATCAATCAATCAGATTCCAAACTCTCCACCATGGCCAAGACCAAAGAGCTCTCCAAGGATGTCAGGGACAAGATTGTAGACCTACACAGGGCTGGAATGGGCTACAAGACCATCGCCAAGCAGCTTGGTGAGAATGTGACAACAGTTGGTGCGATTATTCGCAAATGGAAGAAACACAAAATAACTGTCAATCTCCCTCGGCCTGGGGCTCCATGCAAGATCTCACCTCGTGGAGTTTCAATGATCATGAGAACGGTGAGGAATCAGCCCAGAACTACACGGGAGGATCTTGTCAAGGATCTCAAGGCAGCTGGGACCATAGTCACCAAGAAAACAATTGGTAACACACCACGCCGTGAAGGACTGAAATCCTGCAGCGCCCGCAAGGTCCCCCTGATCAAGAAAGGCACATATACAGGCCTGTCTGAAGTTTGCCAATGAACATCTGAATGATTCAGAGGAGAACTGGGTGAAAGTGTTGTAGTCAGATTAGACCAAAATGGAGCTCTTTGGCATCAACTTAACTCGCCGTGTTTGGAGGAGGAGGAATGCTGCCTATGACCCCAAGAACACCATCCCCACCGTCAAACATGTAGGTGGAAACATTATGCTTTGGGGGTGTTTTTCTGCTAAGGGGACAGGACAACTTCACCGCATCAAAGGGACGATGGACGGGGCCATGTAACGTCAAATCTTGGGTGAGAACCTCCTTCCCTCAGCCAGGGCATTGAAAATGGGTCGTGGATGGGTATTCCAGCATGACAATGACCCAAAACACACGGCCAAGGCAACAAAGGAGTGTCTCAAGAAGAAGCACATTAAGGTCCTGGAGTGGCCTAGCCAGTCTCCAGACCTTAATCCCATAGAAAATCTGTGGAGGGAGCTGAAGGTTCGAGTTGCCAAACGTCAGCCTCGAAACCTTAATGACTTGGAGAAGATCTGCATAGAGGAGTGGGACAAAATCCCTCCTGAGATGTGTGCAAACCTGGTGGCCAACTACAAGAAACGTCTGACCTCTGTGATTGCCAACAAGGGTTTTGCCACCAAGTACTAAGTCATGTTTTGCAGAGGGGTCAAATACTTATTTCCCTCATTAGAATGCAAATAAATTTATAACATTTTTGACATGCATTTTTCTGGATTTTTTTGTTGTTATTCTGTCTCTCACTGTTCAAATAAACCTACCATTAACATTATAGACTGATCATGTCTTTGTCAGTGGGCAACCGTACAAAATCAGCAGGGGATCAAATACTTTTTTCCCTCACTGTATATTGTCAAGGCTGAGGTGTATGTGGTGTGGGAGTCAGGCGCAGGACAGCGAAGCTTAGTCCAACAAAGTTTACTTTTGAACCACAAGGCAAAGATACAATGAACGGCCTCAAAACAAAACAGAGGCGAGCAATTACGCAACTATGCGTAACACAACAAAACAGAGAAAAAACACGCAGCACTATGGACAGGAGAAAAACAACACACAACCTAACCAATACAAAACAGGCAACTTATAGAACACGTAATCAGACACAAACGGACACAGGTGTAATAGACAGACAAAAGCAATCAAACATAGAAACATTCAACGGTGGCAGCTAGTACTCCGGGGACGACGAACGCCGAAGCCTGCCCGAACTAGGAGGAGGAGCAGCCTCGGCAGAATCCGTGACAGTACCCCCCCCTTGACGCGCGGCTCCAGCCGTGTGCCGACCCCGGCCTCGGGGACGGCCAGGAGGACGCGGACCCGGGCGCGTGGGATGCCCACGGTGGAACTCAGTCAGGAGGGATGGATCTAGGATGTCCCTCCTAGGCACCCAGCACCGTTCCTCCGGACTGTACCCCTCCCACTCCACGAGATACTGGAGACCACTCATCCGGCGCCTCGAGTCCAAGATGGTCCGGACCCTGTACGCCGGGGCCCCCTCGATGTCCAAAGGGGGCGGAGGGGTCTCTCCTATCTTATCTTCTTGGAGTGGGCCAGCTACCACCGGCCTGAGAAGAGACACATGGAACGAGGGGTTAATATTATTGTAATCAATAGGCAGTTGTAACCTGTAACACACCTCGTTCAATCTTCTCAGGACTTTAAAGGGCCCCACAAACCGCCGACCCAGCTTCCGGCAGGGCAGGCGGAGGGGCAGGTTTCGAGTCGAGAGCCAGACTCGATCTCCCGGTGCGTACACCGGTCCCTCACTGCGTTGGCGATCGGCGCTCGCCTTTTGTCGACGGATGGCCCGCTGCAGATGGACATGGGCAGCGTCCCACGTCTCCTCCGAGCGCCGAATCCACTCATCCACCGCAGGGGCCTCGATCTGGCTCTCGTGCCATGGTGCCAGGACCGGCTGATACCCTAAAACACACTGGAAAGGTGTTAAATTGGTGGAGGAGTGGCGGAGAGAGTTCTGGGCCATCTCTGCCCAGGGGATATACCTAGACCACTCCTCCGGCCGGCCCTGGCAATAGGACCTCAGAAAACCTACCCACATCCTGGTTGACTCGTTCAACCTGCCCATTGCTCTCTGGGTGGTACCCCGAGGTAAGGCTCACCGAGACCCCCAAGCATTCCATGAACGCCCCCCAGACTCTGGAGGTGAACTGGGGACCTCGGTCAGACACAATATCCTCGGGGACCCCATAGTGCCGGAACACGTGGGTAAATAGGGCCTCAGCGGTCTGTAGGGCAGTAGGGAGACCCGGCATTGGGAGGAGACGACAGGCCTTGGAAAACCGATCCACAACGGCCAAAATGGTGGTATTCCCCTGGGAGGGGGGTAGGTCGGTCACAAAATCCACCGAGAGGTGGGACCATGGTCGTTGTGGAACGGGCAGGGGATGTAACTTTCCCCTGGGCAAATGTCTAGGTGCCTTACACTGGGCGCACACCGAGCAGGAGGAGACATAAACCCTCACATCCTTAGCTAACGTTGGCCACCAGTATTTCACGCTAAGGCAAGATGTAACACGCCGTGTCCGGCAAATACCTGAGGAATGATGCCAGGTGGAAGTCGGGGGCAAAGGTGACTGTGGGTGTAAATACATAGAACGCCCCCAAAAGATGGACATCAGAAAGCGTGGGAGGGGGCGATCGACACGGGGGGGTCTGACTCGCGGTCAGTGCGGGAGAGAGCGAGCGGAACGTAAGGCACGTACTCCGCACCGCCACGGACACCTAGAAGAAAACTCGGCGTTGGATTAGGTCGCGTACGTGCAGTAGTCCCGACCCTACGCCTCTCCCGCAGCATGCGTCCACCTCGTGGGGGCGCGCACGTACGTCTCCCGCTCAGTCGCCAGGTCTCAGTACAAGAACTGCGCGGCACTTATGTGAGTAGTGCTGCGCAATGGACCTCTACCTCCTGTGTCATCCCTCCGCACCGCCGATGACAGTCCAGCGTATCTGCCTGTTACCCGTCTCTAGAAAAAAAAAACAAATAAAACCGCGTGGGATGTATCATGTGATCTTAAAAAACAAACCGGGTCAGGAACATGTTCCACCTAGCCTGCCGAGGGTTAATCTCCTAGTCTGCCCGGATGTACTCCAGGTTACGGTGGTCAGTCAGAATGAGGAAAGGGTGTTGAGCCCCCTCAAGCCAATGCCTCCACCCACCTTTAGGGCCTGGGACTACAGCTAACAGCTCCCTGTCCCCTACGTCATAATTACGCTCCGCCGAGCTGAGCTTCTTAGAATAGAACGCACAGGGGCGGAGCTTAGGTGGCGTGCCGGAACCGTTGCGACAGGACTGCCCCAATACCGGCCTCGGACGCGTCTACCTCTACTTGGAATGGTAAAGAGGGATCCGGATGCGCCAGCACCGGAGCAGAGGTGAACAGGTTTTTCAGTTTGACAAATGCCCTGTCCGCCTCAGCTGACCACTGCAAGCGAACCGGACCCCCCTTTAGCAGGGAACGTAATGGGAGCTGCAACCTGTCCAAAGCCCCGGATAAACCTCCGGTAGTAATTAGCAAAACCCAAAAACTGCTGCACCTCTTTTACAGTGGTTGGAGTTTGCCAATTACGCACGGCCGACACACGGTCAACCTCTATCTTCACTCCAGACAAAGGGGAATAAGAAGACTAATCCAAAAGATAAAACAGACGCGACCATCACGGGGCCAAGCAATTGGACGGACTCCTGGAAGAAACAAGCATCTTCTCTCGCCTTGACTCCATGTCACTAGTCTCCAACATGTCTCACTCACTCACTACGCGACACCAGGGCTACCGGCGCCGTGGTCGTGTGTGTAGGGGTGATCAGCCGGTCCCGGCACCAGCCGAGAGGACATAATCGAGTCCCCTGCGGTGTGGAGAGTGGGTCGGCGCTCAGGGGAAGTGGACGCAGGCCCTGTCCATCTGCGCGGCCATCCGTCGACAAAAGCTAGCGCCGATCGCCACGCAGTGAGGGACCGTTGTACAGCACCGGAGATCTCGTCTGGCTTCTCGACTCGAAACCTTCCCCTCCGCCTTCGCTGCTGTTGGCGCGGAAGGCTGGTCGTGCGGTGTTGTGGTCACGAAGAGTCACACCACCTTATAAAGATTCCTAGGATGAAATCATGTACGTCGGACTCCACACCTGCCCATGCATGTCCGGAAAATCTCGTTCAACAAAGGATTGGAAGACTTGAAGGAGCATTCATTAACCCTAGTTGGCATGACGAGATATCGTAATGACCCGAGGGTGGTGCTAAATGCTGTTTTCCATTCATCCCCCTCCCTAATGCGCCACCAGATTTACGCGCTCCTGAGATCCCAACTTTGTGAAGAACCCGCCGCTCACGCGTAATGATTCCTTGTCCATAGTCGCCCAATCAGTGGGACGAGGGTAACTGCTACTTAACCCGTGATCTGATTGAGACTACGGTAATCAATTACACGGGCGCAAACCCCCGTCCTTCTTCTCACAAAAAAAGAAACTCGAGGAAACCGGGGAAGGGGAGGACCGTATGTATCCCTGTTGCCAAGGACTCGGCTATGTAAGTCTCCATAGCCGCTGTCTCCTCTTGAGACAGGGGATACACACGGCTCCGCGGAAGTGCCGCTCCTGTTTGGAGATCTATCGCACAATCCCCCTGTCTATGAGGTGGTAGCCGTGTTGCCCTCGTTTTGCTGAACACAAGTGCTAAATCCTCATATTCAGGGGGAATGCGCATTGCGGGCACTTGGTTCGGACTCTCTACCGAGGTCGCCCCTAAGGAAACACCTAGACATCTCCCTACACACTGGGCAGACCACTCCATAAGAGCCCTCTGTTGCCACGCAATGGTAGGATCATGGGCGCTTAACCAGGGAAGCCCCAGCACCACGGGATACGCAGGAGAGTCAATCAGATAAAACTGAATGATCTCCTCATGACCCCCCTGCGTCGTCATCTTAAGTGGTGCTGTGACTTCTCTGATCAACCCCGACCCCAACGGCCGGCTGTCTAGGGCATGAACAGGAAAGGGGGCTTCTACCGGCCGAAGGGGAATTCCTAACCTATAACAAAATGCACGATCAACAAAATTCCCAGCTGCGCCTGAATCTACTAGCGCCTTATACTGGGAATGAGGTGCCACCTGTGGAAATCTCACAGGTATACACATGTGACCAACAGAGAGCTCTGGGTAAGTGGGGCGCCTACTCACCTGAAATGACTCCCCAGTGCGTGACCTGTTGTCCCCTCTCCCAGGAGACCCTCCCCAGCACCTGGCCGCGGTGTGTCCTCCACGGCCACAGTTGGTGCAGGGGATGGCCCCCCTCGGGTTCTCTCTCCTCCTCTCTCTAGCGCCAGCACCTCTGAGCTCCATGGGAATCGGCTCGGAGGTGCTGGAGGGTGGAATGGACGACCCCCACTCGGGACGTCCGCGGGTAGCCAGCAGGGTGTCGAGACGGATGGAGATGTCCACCAACTGGTCGAAGGATAGGTTGGTGTCCCTGCAGGCCAGCTCACGACGAACGTCCTCTCGTAGGCTACACCGGTAATGGTCGATGAGGGCCCTCTCATTCCACCCCGCATCCGCCGCTAGAGTCCGGAACTCCAGGGCGAACTCCTGTGCGCTCCTCTTCCCCTGTCGGAGGTGGAACAGACGCTCCCCCGCCGCCTTCCCCTCAGGTGGATGATCGAAGACAGCCCTGAAGCGGCGGGAGAACTCCGCGTAGGTGATGGTAGCGGCGTCTATTCCCCTCCATTCGGCGTTGGCCCACTCCAACGCCTTGCCGGATAGACAGGAGATGAGGGCGGAGACGCTCTCGTATCCCGAGGGCGCTGGGTGTATGGTGGCCAGGTAGAGTTCCACCTGCAGGAGGAACCCCTGACACCCGGCTGCAGAACCATCATATGCCCTCGGGAGCGAGAGCCGAATGCCACTGGGTTCCGGTGCTGAGAGAGGAGGACTGGCCGTTGGTGATGGTATGGTGTGAGAAGGCGTGGGCACCTCTCCCGTAACCAACCGGCGCAGAGTGTTGGACACCTCGTTCATGGCGGCCCCAAGTTGCCGGATCATGGTGTCTTGGTCGCTGATCCGATCCTCCAGCGACTTGGGTGCCGCCACTGCTCCTGCTGACTCCATACTGGTGTGTTGTTCTGTCAAGGCTGAGGTGTATGTGGTGTGGGAGTCAGGCGCAGGACACCGAAGCTTAGTCCAACAAAGTTTACTTGTGAACCACAAGGCAAAGATACAATGAACGGCCTCAAAACAAAACAGAGGCGAGCAATTACGCAACTATGCGTAACACAACAAAACAGAGAAAAAACACGCAGCACTATGGACAGGAGAAAAACAACACACAACCTAACCAATACAAAACAGGCAACTTATAGAACACGTAATCAGACACAAACGGACACAGGTGTAATAGACAGACAAAAGCAATCAAACATAGAAACATTCAACGGTGGCAGCTAGTACTCCGGGGACGACGAACGCCGAAGCCTGCCCGAACTAGGAGGAGGCAGAATCCGTGACATATATCTATTACAAATTCTTGCAAATCTTAATTTATTTCCACAATTAACGAATAATATGGGTAATGATGTAGGCACTTCCAACAAAGGATTGTTACATATAACCAGGACTGACATTACAAAAATGAAATTTTTGGCAAGCAAACAATTATTGTGATTCATCCTATACTGTCCCTAACATCATTACCCCATAGCAACAGATGTGGGCCAGTTTATTAGGTACACCCATCTAGTATTGGATCGGGCCCCACTTTGCCTCCAGAACAGCCTCAATTCTTCAGGGCATGGAAATGTTGCTCAATTGGTATCAAGGGACCTAACCTGTGCCAGAAAAACATTCCCCACACCACTGCCACCAGCTTGTACTGTTGACACCAGGCAGGATGGGGCCATGGACTCATGCTTCTTACGCCAAATCTTGACTCTGCCATCAGCATGACGCCACAGGAACCAGGATTCGACGGACTCCTCAATTGTCCTGTGTTGGTGACAGCGTGCCCACTGGAGCTTCTTCTTCTTGTTTTTAGCTGATAGGAGTGGAACCCGGTGTGGTCATCTGCTGCAATAGCCCATCCCTGACAATGACCGATGAGTTGTGCTTTCCGAGATGCCGTTCTGGACACCACTGTTGTACTGCGCTGGTATTTGTCTGTTTGTGGCCCGCCTGTGAGCTTGAACGATTCTTGCCATTCTCCTTTGCCCACAGGACTGCCACTGACTGGATGTTTTTTGTTTGTTGCACCTGTCTCTGTAAACCCTAGACACTGTCGTGGGTGAAAAGCTGGCCATTTCTGAGATACTGGAACCGGCGTGGCTGGCACTGACGATCATACCACACTCAAAGTTGCTTAGGTCACTCGTTTTGCCCATTCTAACGTTCAATCGAACAGTAACTGAATGTCTCCATGCCTGTCTGCCTGAGTTTTATATATGAACAAGGATTGGGTATTATGTAAAATGTAAAATAAAGTATTATATGTTTTATATTAGGTGAAATCCTATTATTACGTTCTAATTTTGTACTTATAAATGATGTCACACACATAACAAAACATCAATCACGACCATATAACATGTAGGGTTTCTCTTCTCAGTTTTGACCCCATTACATGAGGAAAAACTATTTCCTCTCTTCAGAGCAGTGATGGCTTGTGTTCTCCCTTTAATCAAAAACAGGTCTGTCAGCCTAACTGTTGTTGACTGATGTCTCTCCACCTCATAGTCTGAACCTCGGTCTGGTCTGTGAAGGCATTGCAACATCTAATAGGACTGGCTCTTCCACCAATTTCTTTCATCACTCTTGTTTGAAAGATACCTGTCAGCTTGATACCCCTCAAAAGCAGCCTAAACATGTGAGCCTTGAAAGATGCGTGGCATTTAGATTTTGTATAGATTATTACAGGTTCGACACCAAAGTTTGGGTAAATGTACGACCGTCTTATTGGCATTCATAGCTACGATATTGAGGAAGGTCGGTATAAATGTATCTCTCTCTTTCTCTCTCTCTCTTTCTCTTCTCTGCTCTTCTCTTCTCTCCCCTCCATCCTCGCGCAATCCCTGTTCCCCCTGTCTCTCCATTTCCCTCTTTCTATCCTTCCCCTCTCCACTTTCTCACTCTCTCCCCCTCTTTCCATCCAACCCTTCTCTCTGTGTAAGGTGCTGTGCAATAAACAGGTGGTGAATGTATTGCAGTTGTAAAGTATTATCCTCTTAGTTTGTCCACTGCAAAAAGCAGTATTTTTTAAGTCATATAGTTATAGTAAATTATGTTGCCATGGTGTGACAAAGCAACACCTGTTTTACTGTGTTCAAACAAATGTACCTTTACTTTACACAATCCATGTTTAACAGGTTGTAAAAAATTGTACTTTTTTTATTGTGAAGTGTATTGTTTTGATTGTACTCTGTCCTTCACCATCTTGCATTGCTTTGGCCTGAGCCCTAATATCGATATAAATACTAAACCAAGCAAATGTATGCAATAATAATAAGCCATTTAGAAGACACTTTGACCCAAAGCAAGTTTACAGTGACTACATTTTGAGGCCACAGTGGGATTCAAACCCATGACTCTGGAGCGTCACACTCTTACCAACTGAGCGTGTGTAGCTATAGCTATGTTGCTATTGTAGCAACCGTAACCTAACACCTAGCGACCTCGTCAAGAGGTTCAGACCTCTTTGCGTAATGGTTAAGGTGTTGGCTTGACAGTCACTGGACCCGGGTTTGAGTCCCAGTCGGGGATACCCACCAACTGAAATGGGATGGTACCTGTGAGGCAATTGGAGCTGCGTGTACACGTAAGGGACTTGTATAGAGACATGTTGGACCTCTTGGCGTAATGGTTAAGGTGTTGGCTTGACAGATACTGGACCCAGATTTGTTTTTTCTCATAGTCTGCTGTTGAAGTGACCTCAGTGGTGATTCACATTTTTAAAAAAAACATGATGATGAGTAGGTCAACATGGAGCTAGGGATGGGGCGGCGCTGTGGGAGAATGTCAATCACAGCAGGAGAGCACTCTGATTGGATGTGTTCTCCTCATGTCCCTATTGGGCCAAAAACAATGAAGGAAGAGACAGGGAGGAGAGTTAGTCATTCTCAAAACAACATGGCCGATCCAGACCTGCTGAGCACATCACGGTGAATACTACAAAATAGGAGCATTTTAGACAAATTAGATCTGGTCAGAAGAATTGGGAGTTTATCATTGGGGCTTATTGCAAACGTGTTATTGATTTGTAATTATTCAATTATCATTTTTATTTTTGCAGCCATATGCTTCCATAAACTCAAACTGTACATTTATCGCGTGCTGTGGAAGGCTGACAAGGAAAACAAGACAAAGCCTCATACCAAAGAAAAGCCAGGAAAGGAAAGGCCTCGCTGGTTTTTATTTTAGGTCTGTCACCCTCCACTGTCCAGCAAGTACCCCATGACCAGCTAGTCTGGTGTGGTCCAGCAAGTTTATACCCCATGACCAGCTAGTCTGGTGTGTCCAGCAAGTACCCCATGACCAGCTAGTCTGGTGTGTCCAGCAAGTACCCCATGACCAGCTAGTCTGGTGTGTCCAGCAAGTACCCCATGACCAGCTAGTCTGGTGTGTCCAGCCAGTACCCCATGACCAGCTAGTCTGGTGTGTCCAGCAGTACCCCATGACCAGCTAGTCTGGTGTGTCCAGCCAGTACCACATGACCAGCTAGTCTGGTGTGTCCAGCCAGTACCCCATGACCAGCTAGTCTGGTGTGTCCAGCCAGTACCCCATGACCAGCTAGTCTGGTGTGTCCAGCCAGTACCCCATGACAAGCTAGTCTGGTGTGTCCAGCAAGTACCCCATGACCAGCTAGTCTGGTGTGTCCAGCAAGTACCCCATGACCAGCTAGTCTGGTGTGTCCAGCAAGTACCCCATGACCAGCTAGTCTGGTGTGTCCAGCCAGTACCCCATGACAAGCTAGTCTGGTGTGTCCACAAGTACCCCATGACCAGCTTAAGTCTGGTGGTCTGGGGTGTCCAGCCAGTACCCCATGACAAGCTAGTCTGGTGTGTCCAGCACCGTACCCCATGACAGACTAGTCTGGTGTGTCCAGCAAGTACCCCATGGACCAGCTAGTGTGTTGTGTTGTCCAGCAAGTACCCCATGACCAGCTAGTCTGGGTGTGTTCCAGCAAGTACCCCATGACCAAGCTAGGTCTGGTGTGTCCAGCAAGTAACCCCATGACCAGCCTAGTCTGGGTGTGTCCAGCCAGTACCCCCATGATCCAGCTAGTCTGGTGTGGTCCAAGCCAGTACCCCCCATGACCAGCTAGTCTGGTGTCTGTCGGAAACGAAACATGTGAGCAAATCCCCCCCAAGACCTGTATCTCATCCGCCAGCAGCTACCCGCTACACCTTACCAGCCGGACAAACACACACAAACACACACCACACACACACACACACACACACACCACACACAAACACAAACACACACACCACACACACACACACACACACACACACACACACACACACACACACACACACACACACATCCCTCTGAGTGTAAAGCCCCAAGAGGATCCCACCCCTAGAGAGGTATTATATCCCCCATTCCCTCCCCTCTTATTTTTTATTTTATTCCCCTTTATTTAACCAGGTAAGAAGCCCGTTGAGAACAAGTTCTCATTTACAACTGCGACCTGGCCAAGATAAAGCAAAGCAGTGCGATAAAAACAACAACAACACAGAGTTACACATGGAATAAACAAAACATAAAGTCAAAAATACAACAGAAAATATATATACAGTGTGTGGGAATGTAGTAAATGATGGATGTAAGGCAATAAATAGGCCATAGTGCAAAATAGTTACAATTTCGTATTAACACTGGAATGATAGATGTGCAAAAGATGACGTGCAAATAGAGATACTGGGGTGCAAATTAGCAAAATAAATAACAATACGGGGATGAGGTAGTTGAATGGGCTAATTACAGATGGGCTGTGTACAGGTGCAGTGATCGGTAAGGTGCTCTGACAACTGATGACTAAAGTTAGTGAGGGAGATAAGAGTCTCCAGCTTCAGAGATGTTTGCAGTTCGTTCCAGTCATTGGCAGCAGAGAGCTGGAAGGAATGGCGGCCAAAGGAGGTGTTGGCTTTGGGGATGACCAGTGAGATATACCTGCTGGAGCGCAGACTACGGGTGGGTGTTGCTATGGTGACCAGTGAGCTAAGATAAGACGAGGATTTGCCTAGCAGTGATTTATAGATGACCTGGAGCCAGTGGGTTTGGCGACGAATATGTAGTGAGGGCCAGCCAACAAGAGCGTACAGGTCACAATGGTGGGTAGTATATGGGGCTTTGGTGACAAAACGGATGGCACTGTGATAGACTACATCCAATTTGCTGAGTAGAGTGTTGGAGGCTATTTTGTAAATGACATTGCCGAAGTCAAGGTAGGATAGTCAGTTTTACGAGGGCATGTTTGGCAGCATGAGTGAAGGAGGCTTTGTTGCGAAATAGGAAGCCGATTCTAGATCTAACTTTTGATTGGAGATGATTAATGTGAGTCTGGAAAGAGAGTTTACAGTCTAACCAGACACCTAGGTATTTGTAGTTGTCCACATACTCTAGGTCAGACCCACCGAGAGTAGTGATTCTAGTCGAGTGGGCGGGTGCAAGCAGCGTTCGGTTGAAGAGCATGCATTTCGTTTTACTAGAGTTTAAGAGCAGTTGGAGGCTACAGAAGGAGTGTTGTATGGCGTTCAAGCTTGTTTGGAGGTTTGTTAACACAGTGTCCAATGAAGGGCCAGATGTATACAAAATGGTGTCCGCATAGAGGTGGATCCGAGCGTCACCAGCAGCAAGAGCAACATCATTGATATACACAGAGAATAGAGTCGGCCCGAGAATTGAACCCTCTGGCACCCCCATAGAGACTGCCAGAGGTCCAGACAACAGGACGGCAGTCATTTGAGAAACCAAGGCTATTTAGTCTGCCAATAAGAATGCGGTGGTTGACAGAGTCGAAAGCCTTGGCCAGGTCGATGAAGACGGCTGCGCAGTACTGTCTTTTATCGATCGCGGTTATAATATCGTTTAGGACCTTGAGCGTGGCTGAGGTGCACCCATGACCAGCTTGGAAACCGGATTGCATAGCGGAGAAGGTACGGTGGGATTCGAAATGGTCGGTGATCTGTTTGTTAACTTGGCTTTCAAAAACATTGGAAAGGCAGGGCAGGATGGATATAGGTCTGTAACAGTTTGGATCTAGAGTGTCACCCCCTTTGAAGAGGGGGATGACCGCGGCAGCTTTCCAATCTCTGGGGATCTCAGATGTTACGAAAGAGAGGTTGAACAGGCTAGTAATAGGGGTTGCGACAATTTCGGCAGCTAATTTTAGAAAGAAAGGGTCCAGATTGTCTAGCCCTGCTGATATGTAGGGGTCCAGATTTTTCAGCTCTTTCAGAACATCAGCTGTCTGAATTTGTGTGAAGGAGAAGCAGGGGGGGGGGGGGGGGGGGGGGGGGGGGGGGCATGGGCAAGTTGCAGCGAAGAGTGCAGAGCTGGTGGCCGGGGTAGTGGTAGCCAGTGGAAAGCATGGCCAACTGGAGTGGGGGATTCAATTGTGATTATTTAATTTAATCAATAACTTAGCTAAAGTAATTTCTACTTCTGCTATTCATTGTGTTATCCATGTATGGCGATAGCCTGAGTCCGAGTTGGAGTTGTCTTACCAACTCCATGCTGTCACCATCACACAGCAATGGAGCTGGCAAGACAGCACAAACAGATCTGGCACTCAGGCTAGTATTATGCTGAGTTTTTTCTATCTTGTTGTGTGTAATTTCTAACGTCCCAACCTCTCTTTCATTCAAACAGGAACCTGCTGGATATGGACACCTTCTCCAAATCAGACCCTGGTATGTGATGCATGCATCTTTACGAGGGTTGCAAAGCCTTTCTTGTAAGCACTTACAAGTTAAAATGAAAAGCTTATAACATCATGTAATGATATCATCTGCATAGCCTGTATAACATGTACATGAAATTCTACTGTTCCAATTGTTCTTAAAATAGAACTGTTGAAGGGACTCCGTAGTACCCCAGATACCACCATGGAACACATGGAACTACACAAAATGTATCTATTTTATCTTCAGTGACCATGCACCTCTGGGTAATTACCGTCAGTCTGGCCACCACAGTAGTCAGGTACACAGCGTGATATGGCAAGCGTTGCCTTAAGGCTTAAGGTTAAACTCCAACTCAAGTCGTCTCTTAATTACATTACTTTTTCTGATTGACTTGACAACCCCTTTGCTCTCCACTCCAAGTGACGCACGCACATGACTGACGCATGTGGAGTAGTTGTGTCAGGTAATGTCAGGTGCACAGGCTTCAGTGTATACGCTCTTCCAAGCGATTGAGGAGCCTTATCTATTTTGAAGGGAAATTTCACTATTGTTCAACTTCATATTCATCATCTCCACCCCAACATCAACATATGTGAAAATTCCACGTTTCTATGTTTTGTAGTAAAAAAGATAGAGGAAGATAAGTGTTTCCAATGACACCATCAACCAATTAGTAGGCAATTAGGCAATGCCTACTCATAATTGGTTTTTGCTGGAGATGATGAGTACGAAGTTGGAAAATTGTGAAATTTCCCTTTACGGGTTGCAGCAGCACAAATTACATTTGACAGTGTAGTGTGTTGCCCTGTTTTGCAAGTCGGGATTTGTATTTTTGGTGGTTTTATTGAACAGATAGGACAGTACAGAAAAGACGGAAGGTGAAGTTTCAGTGACAGTGGGCCGGATTCAAACCCCATGCTGACTTTGGTCCATGCATGTGCCAGATTTAGCTACGCTAACCACTGTACCACACTGGCCTCCACTTGGAAGAGTTCTGGTTGAGATCCCATCTCCCTTCCAAGTCTACAGATCTTGTTGAGGAAAATCTGGGCATTTGTCATCAATGCATCTATCATAATCTTGGACATCCAGAACTAAAATCTTGCGTAATTGCGTCAGATGCTCGATTAAGTTCTGTGGGGATAGCTGTTGGCAAATATACTAATTGATTTTCAGGCAAGTCTATGTGCCGAATGCTCCCTCCCCTTCCGAAATTCCAAAGATGCGAGCACCTGCGAAATCGTGATGAAAAATCGGAGTTCCGGAACAAAGTTTATTGTTGGTCGTCCCATTCCACAGTCTGTCGACAGACGCTACTACCATTTATGATAAGTGTGTCTGTCCATGAGAGATTATATCTCTCAGGATATCTCTGTATTTTCAGGGGAGAGACATCCACACTCAGTTGAACATGAATGGAAGGATGCATGTTTGACAGAGTGGAAATTCACAACCCTCTGCACTTCAACACAGCGTACTCAAGAAACGTGGTAAATACCACTGACCCAGAAGAGCCAATGGTACTTCTATGTAGAGTAGCGATGCACTTGGCTATCCACTACACACAGACCTGTATGGTGGTGTGTGTGTGTCCCTCAACTCATTCTCACCATTGGTAAAGCACTGTAATTGAATCTCGATGGTGTCTGTGTCCCTGATAATAATAGTAATAATAATAATATGCCATTTAGCAGACGCTTTTATCCAAAGCGACTTACAGTCATGCGTGCATAAATTTTTTTGTGTATGGGTGGTCCCAGGGATCGAACCCACTACCTTGGCGTTACAAGCGCCGTGCTCTACCAGCTGAGCTACAGAGGACCACATTAACTTTAATAACATTCACCTTCCATCTTTTCTGTACTGTCCTATCTGTTCAATAAAACCACCAAAAATACAAATCCCGACTTGCAAAACAGGGCAACACACTACACTGTCAAATGTAATTTGTGCTGCTGCAACCCGTAAAGGGAAATTTCACAATTTTCCAACTTCGTACTCATCATCTCCAGCAAAAACCAATTATGAGTAGGCATTGCCTAATTGCCTACTAATTGGTTGATGATGTCATTGGAAACACTTATCTTCCTCTATCTTTTTTACTACTATAGGGAGCTTATTACACAAAGCCCTCGATGGATTTCTTTGTTTGATTTTCACTTTGTGAAG